TTGTCTTGCTGTAGTATAAAATTTTGACGTACTTGATTTGCAAATGGTAGCACAATAGGTCGTAAAATGTCATCAATGTATCCCCTAGCATTTAAAGTTGCGTTATGAATAGTGTGCAAGGCAGTACAGCCATTCAAACTTATACCACCCCAAACCATTATCGATCCACCTCCAAAAGCTCGAACTTCTCTAACCGTGGAGTCCAGAAAACGTTCTCTTTGACGTCTACATACTCATGAAACCAACCTAACTTCAAAACAACCGAGAACTGTCAAATTGGTTGTCACAGAAAACAGTGTCTTTATATTGCACGTTCCACTATTTTACTATTAACTGTAGATATTGTAATAGGCCTGTAGTTGGTTATTAATTTAGGGTTTCCCGAACATTCCCTTTACTTTCACTAAAAAAAACTGCTTCTATATCGTATTTAAATGATTGTTAGTCCATTTTTATGGAATAAATTTCGATTTACAAAGAAAACTTTGACATTTGCCGCCGGTTATACAGATTTCCATTCTTACGGTTACTCTATTTTTGTATAAATGTCGATCTATACAAATATTTAATTTAAATCATTTTTAGATAAAGTAGAAAAAGTATAGTATGCAACTCGTTTATAAACTTTTTAATTAAACAGTAGCTCGCTCGTGCCTAATTTAAATTCGTGACTAATATGGCGTTTATCAAACGATATTTAAAACTATTTAAAATAACATTATGAAATTTTAATACTTAATATACTAAGAATCTTGATTCTAAACAAATTTTTAATTTAATTCGATGAATAGCGGCGATTTTATATTGGTTTAAATATAAATTGTTTGTCAAAGTACGTAATTTATTGAACTTAATATCGTGGGATTTTAGCTATTTAGATTAAAAAAACTTCATTATTAATAATAATTATTATTATTTTTAAATATAATAACATTATTATAATAATTATTATAAAATTATTATAAATTACTATAAAATTATAATATATAGAATTTCAATAATACATTGACCAATTTTTTTGGCTTCTAGCATGTGTTTGTAGGCTTGAAACAATTTAGAATGGTGGCCTAAGGCAAGCGTCTTAATTTTTTATAGTTTGCTTTAAACTACAATCTAGAAACAACGCCAAACCCTCTTCTTTTGTAAAGGTACCTAATTGCTTCTGATTTGGATGTCGAAATTTCTATATTTTCTTGGTAATTTAAAGTTAAAAATTGTTAATTTTTCAGCACTTACCAGTATTCCTAATAAACATGTTGTTATTTTTATATTATATATATTACAAAATAAAAATAAACTAAAATTTAAAAAAGAAATTAAATTATTTACATTAAATACTTCAAGAGATAAAATAAAATCACTTATAGATTTTAAAAACAGCTAATGTAATTATGTATTGTTCAATATAACTTTCTTTAATTAATTATTTATTAGATACATTTTCACCACTTTTGTTGTAATTTACCTTTATTGTAAATAGCATTACTTTTGTTGTTGATATCATTACTTTTATTGTAAAAAGTATTACTTTTGTTGTAAATGGCGTTACTATAAATTTTAGATTTAAATTTATTATTTTTTGTGTTTGCGTTTTTATTATATGCATTTATTATCTCACGCAGAAGTTCTAAACTTTAGTAAGTTTGTAATATTTATTTACTATTTTGTGTGAATATTTTCCATAGTAAATAAATATATTATTATTAAAAAAAAAATGATAATCTTTATTAGTTTTAAAGTTAGAGCTATTTAAACTTAATAGTTTCAAAGGTTTTTAAATTTAATAAACACCACGTACAAATTTAATGTTTTTCTATAAGAAAATTTATTGCAAAAAGTCTTAAATTGTGTTTTTGGCCGATTTTTGCTGATTCTAGTCCACCGTCCCAAGATATAAAAACCTTACACCATAAATCGAATTTGTATTAAAAACTAACGACGCAAACAAAAATTAAAATAAAATTGGTATTTTTTGAGAAAAAACGATAATTATTTTTGACAAAACTTTGAGGTTATGTTTTTTAAAGATATAGAAAAATAAAGTAGGGCATGATGTATAGCATAAAAATGTGATTTAAAATTATTTTTGTTTTTTAAAATTGGTTACCTAATATATATGGAATATATAATATAATTATTAAACCCCTGTAAACTCTGACTGGCTCTATACAGGGTGTCCTGAAATTAGTGCACCATACAAGAAATGCCTCTTAAGGGAGCTACAGCCCCCAAAAGGAAAGCCCCTGAAGATGGTTTTAATTTAATATCTCCAAAACCGTTAAAGATAGAAAAGTGAAATTTGGGGAATTAATTAAACTTTGTATGACCAATAAGATGTAATAATAACAATTTAAAAAATTTCATGAGGTTTGGGTCAGATTGATAGGAAGTGGGGTTAAAACCACCTTAACTTTTTTGTACGAATCTTGTACCAGAATTTGATGTGAGATTATGAAATTTTGGAGTTTTTCACATAAAAAAGGTCATCCTGTTGAATTTTGATAACATACACCATTTTCGCTTAAAATCGATTTGAAAATTATTTTACATGGCATAAAAATTCACAATTAAATCACAACCATAGAAATGGACTCGCGTGGTCTTTGGAATACGGCTGCCATGTTTAGGAAAAAATAGAATAATTTGACAGTTTCATGTAGTAAGTGACAGGGTGTTTCTACTTTTTTATAAATATTAGATAAAAACCATATTCAGGGGCTCCCTTTTCGGGGGCTGTAGCTCCCTTAGGAGCCATTTCTTATTTTTGCACGTAGAATCTGCTGTTAAAGTATGGTGCACTAATTTCGGAACACCCTGTATAATATATTATATAAAACTGTTCCAAGTTTGGTCAAAATCGCAGGTTTGCATCATAGTTTTTTTCGAAACAATTTTGTTTGCCATATCTTTTTTTTGCGAACCGTGCTTGTGCACTTAGACAAAGAAGTTTATAACATTTTATGTTTTTCAATAAAGCTTTTACACTTATTAGATTTACAAGGTAAAGTCGTTTCCTTAATGTTGAAGTGGTCGGATCTCAAAGTTACTTTGATAATATAATTTCAATGGAAAATAGTAATCCTTTACGGATTAAGTTTAAAGGTTTATTGTTGTAACTTTTATCTTATATAAGTGTAATTTGTGTTCAGGCTTTAGTTAACTTGTTTGGGGGTAAAGGAAGTCGTTAGCTTTGATGAAATTAATAATAAAAAAATTAATTATAGTACAAGAAATAAGTTGTATACCTATATAATGGCCCATCGAAAACACTCCAGCTTTGTACGTGAACAAAAAAAAAATCTGTAGACCAGTATACTTTTGTTTTCGGAGGGACATATTTACACATATAAATTTGATCTTTTTACCAGCGCGCCGGTAATACGAGGTGTGTTAAGAAAATATCGGGAATTTTCGTTTTTTGAAACAAATATTTATTTATTCGTCTACATTAATGTTGTCGCCTTCAAAATAGTCCCCATTGGATATTATGCACATGTGCCAGCTCTTCTTCCAATACTCGAAACACTTCTAAAACTCGATCTTTGGGATAGCCTTTAGTTCTTTCAGCGATGCGCTTTTAAAGTCATCTATGCTTGCAAAACGACGGCCCTTTAAGGTTCTCTTTATTTTCGGGAATAGGAAAAAGTCAGACAGAGGCATGTCTGGCGAATATGGAGGCTGGGGCATCATTACAGTATTGTTTTTGGCCAAAAATTTTGTTCAAAATTTAACAATTTTAGAACAAATTTTGCTGCCACGCGTTTCATACCCAAAACATTCGAAAAAATTTCATGGTATGAGCCAATCGATATACCAACATCATCAGCGACTTCTCTGATAGTTTATAACCATTTCTTCCACTTTTTCCATGTTTTTATCGGTTGTTAATGTGGTTGTGCGTTCGGGGCGTTCGTCATCTTCAACGTCTTCACGGCCATCTTGGAAACTCTTATACCACTTGTAAACTCTTGTTTTACTTATACTTATATTTTCACAGAATTTATTTCATTTTTTAAGCAAAATTGGTTACAAATTCTTTGATCCATTTCTTTTAACGAACGAAAAATCGCCGAGCTCATAAAACACGTCTAACCTTAGCGGCTGCCACAGACAAAGTAAATAATGAAAACAGCTAAAGTTTTTATCATACTTCGGGGGCATGTAGGTATACAAACATAGGTAATAAAGAAAATTTTATGACCACCGGACCCTCCGAACCCGCGAAATTTAACAATTCCCGTTATTTTCTGAACACACCTTGTACAGGTTCCCAATATATACCCAGCAAACAGAGTGTCGTCAGATAACGTGTTTCAGACTTCGTTTATTGGTGATCTTTCATCATCGCCTTAAAGGTACCAGTTATGTATTGACTTAAGTTAAAGTCATTTTTTGACGTTAGTGGACTGTGATATTTTGCTTTAAAAGTGACGTGATAAACACGTCGTGTTTTAGTCATTCACTGCCGTGATTATAATATACGTCATAAGATGACGTTAGCAAACGTCATTTTTTAGACGTCAGTGGGCTGTGACATTTTGCCCTAAAAGTGACGTGTTAAACACGTCGTTTTTTAGTCATTCACTGACGTCAATTTGTTTGCTGGGTAATGGGACAAATATTTAATTTTAAATAATGTTTTACTTCAGACACTTACGGGATTTTTAAAGAAAAAGTATGTAAATACAAAAGAAAAAATCTTTTTATTCAATATTTCCCTTACATGTTTTTTTTATAAAAAATCGATTACACCAAATTAGCAGTAAAATCACTGAAGAATTTGAATTTGTAATTTTTGTTTTAAAAGTTTTTTTAACAAGCAGTAGGCAGTAATTTAATAGTTTATAATAATAATTATATTTTTGGAATATATGAGTAGGTACATACAAAAATATCTATATAACCCCGGCGTATTCGCCCGATGTACAATTTTTTACATATATTTAAATCAATATTTTTAACTAAACCAACAGAATTTTTAATGCTATTTTCTTTTCCAGAATGGACTTCCTTCTTCAGAAAATCCATACGTTTTTAATGGAGATTTCGTAGATCGCGGCAAGAGAGGGCTTGAGGTTTTGTTAATTTTACTTTGTTGCCTTTTAGTTTATCCAGATTCGGTTTATCTAAACAGAGGTAACCACGAGGACCACATTATGAACCAAAGGTAATTTTGCTGTTTAAAATTTAATGTTAATATAAATTAAAAATGTTTACTAAAACTGTTTTAGTTTTATATACGTTTTAAAGTTAATTTAACCTGAATGCAAAAGTGCTGACCAAAATCTGTTTACCTCTAGCTGATAAAAGCCGAAACAAGTTGTTAACACAAGTGTTACTAAATTTAAAGTTTATTGTAAACAAAGCAATTTTGTTTAGGTAAATTCTATACATATAATTATAATATATTGTATATTATACACTGATTCTTTAACGCCCATACCTAAACGGCTTAAATTTTGAAAGTGTATTCCTTTTGTGAAATGGATAACTGCATAATTTTTTGAACCTCCAAGAATCAATATTCAAATCAATAATTGATGTTCCTTTTTTTCTATAAATAGAGATATTATAACCCCCGTTGTAACGCCACTGCTTGAAGTTTAAAAACGAATTTATTGCTAAACTATGGTACCTAATATAAAAACAATACCCAACAAATTTTAATAAAATATGGTCTTTTGTTTGGGAGAAATTATTTGATTTAAAAATTTATGCAACTGTTGAGTTTCCGATATAAGTTTATTCAAAAAATTATTATTATTTTAACGTTTTTTATTCCGTTGCATTCACCATTTTTTTTTTAGTATTTTTAAATACTAAAACGGCTTTTGATGAAATTTAGTATGAACAACGTTCTTGAGCCAAAACCGTTTTGGAACCAGACGGGAACGGCCCAAACAAAGAAACCTTCATTTATATATATACAGTGTGTCCCACCGAAAACTCGATCTACCCCAGCTTGGGTAGCCACCCTAACTTCAAAATACCTTTTTCGAAAAGTATTTTAATTCTCTAAATAATTCTGCAAAAAAAATTATGTTTTCCTTATTTTCATAAAAAAATGCATTTAAATGGGTGCAACACTAGTTTACAAAATAGGAAAAAAATTCCCACCATATCACATTATAATTTTCCCATGTATTTTAGCCCACTAAAAACGAAAATCACACAAATTTTCATTTGTTTTTTTTTCAATTTTCGGAGGTGTTTTGACGTTTTTGAGTATAGCTTGAAATTTAATTGATCGATTTGGTCAAACAAGCCCTTAAATTGAAGGTATTTAGCCCTCTAAAACTTTCTTTTAGGTACATACTTTTGATAAGTATTTAAAAAAATCGTTTTTATGGCAAAAATTGAGGTCGAAAATTTACATATCGTCCAGGGAAAGGTTTATTTAAATCAAACAGATAACTCCAGTTTGATTTTTTTTTCGTGAAGCTGACATTTTCACAAAAAAAAATAAGCTAATGTTGATAAAAATATATAGAAAAATGACGAAAACCTAATTAAAGTGCATGATTAGTTTTTCTTTGAGTTTTTTACGTGCTTACTTTTTTCACCGAAAACACTATTTAAAATTTAAATTTGACATGACGCAGCAAACGGGAATTCTTTTGTTTCTTGTGTTGGCATATTTTAACAAACTATTTTTATCATGGTTTTATTTAGGTAATAAAAAGTGTAAATTGAAACACCCCAGAAAATTAAAAAAAAAAGAATTAAAAATTCATATCTCGAAAACGCTTTCAGTGTGATTTTCGCGTTTAGTGTTTACATTACAATTCATAGTTGCTTGAAGCAACTTGCTTCCGATTATCCTTTTAAAGATATATAGGCCATTGATAGTTTTCTGTGATACACGCTGTATAGATGACACCTTTATCTTTCCTTAGAACAATGAGAGCGAAGCTGTGGTTACAGTTAACTATAAAATAAATAATAATAATAATAAAAACCAAAAGCTTGATTTTTAAATTTTCATATTTTTACCTATATTCCTTTTAAATAATCATCCTGTTGTTTATTTATAGGTATGGATTTGTCAGAGAAGTGCAATCTAAATATAAGGTAAGTGCATTAAAAAATTATTAAAAAAGTAAGAAAACGCAGGCAAATGTGCCTTTCAGTGGTCCAACGTCCGTGGATATATCCATACATGAAAACCTCTATTGGTGTTATATCACACGATCGTGGAGGTTAATTCACAGGTCAAAAGTTTATTAAAAGTTTACAGCAATAAAATGATTGTGTCGCGCGCTGTGTGTCATGTTGCCCCGTACACTGGGAAAGGGATCCTCAAAACCTGGCAGAAATTAATAAAATGAAATGTAATACCAGTTAAGTACTTACTGACCCACCTTTGCGCAGTATTTAAAAGTTTTGGATTGTACCCTGATCGCCACAAGGTTGCCCTATGTTTACCATATTAATGTGCAAGGGCTTCGCGAAATTGATTTCTTTGCGTATTTAAAGTGTATTATTGATACAATTTATTAATAATAATATACAGTGCTTGCAAATCCAAGTCCGACCGGTTTGGGAAGGACGCGTGAAAATAACAAGGATAGAACGCCAAACGCTTACAATACGCACGCCTGACGCTCTGACCAATCAAATTCTGTTTGGCATTCTATCCTTATTCTTTTCACGCGGGTATTGAACAACAATCCTTCCCAACGCGGTCGGACTTGGATTTGCAAGCAATGTATAATATTTTAAATCTTGTAATTATACAAAGACTTCAATAAATAAGTAACAATATTTATTTAAAAAAAATTAAGTACTAAACCAAATATATATATATATATATATATATATATATATATATATATATATATATATATATATATATATATATATATTAGACTGGTTCAAAAAAATCGAATATTTTTTTTTCTTCAAAGCCCGCATTAAAATATCTTCCTAGTAGTGAAAAAAGAAGCCTTTGAAAATTGTAGCTCTTAATATTAATATTTAGAGGTCGCTCATCGTGAATTTCTATTTTACGTTTAAATAACACAGGAATTCTTTTTTCTTAACTTTGAAATTTTATAACTCGTTTTTGAGTGAACATATTGGAATGAACTCTATATATTTTTAAAGAAAATTGAACGTTCTAAAAAAAATGTCTCTTATAATTTTTTCGTAAATTCACTCCTTTAATAGTTATTCAAGTTTGAAATTAGACATATAATAAATGTAACGTTTAAATAACACAGGAATTTTTTTTTTTACTTTTACTTTAATAACTTTTTTTTGATTGGACATATTGGAATAAGCGATAATTTTTTTTAAAGAAACATAAAAAAAAATTAAAAAAAGTTCACAAAAATCTGGATTCGAATTCACGCTAAGCAGGTTACAAGACGAGCTTTAAAAAAAGACTAGCGAACTATTCCGCTGCTCTAGGGCGCTTCCAGATTTTTGTCAACTTTTTTTAATTTTTTTTATGTTTCTTTAAAAAAAATTATCGCTCATTCCAATATGTCCACTCAAAAAAAAGTTATAAAATTAAAAGTAAAAAAAAATTCCTGTGTTATTTAAACGTTACATTTATTATATGTCTAATTTCAACCTTGAATAACTATTAAAGGAGTGAATTTACGAAAAAATTATAAGAGACATTTTTTGTAGAACGTTCAATTTTCTTAAAAAATATATAGAGTTCATTCCAATATGTTCACTCAAAAACGAGTTATAAAATTTCAAAGTTAAGAAAAAAGAATTCCTGTGTTATTTAAACGTAAAATAGAAATTCACGATGAGCGACCTCTAAATATTAATATTAAGAGCTACAATTTTCAAAGGCTTCTTTTTTTACTACTAGGAAGATATTTAAATGCGGGCTTTGAAGAAAAAAAAATATTCGATTTTTTTGAACCAGTCTAATATATATATATATATATTTGGGTTCCCAAGTGAATTAAGTATGGTACCTTTCATTAATTTTAAGAAAAAACCCTAACTTTTTGCTACTTTACTGATTATGGTGATTTTCAACTGTTCAAGTAAAATTATAGTCGGATTGTAGCCAAATACAAACCTGGATTCGAGAACATCAATAATGGTAACACCACCAGGCATTGTTTAAAATATCTGCAATGACTTAAATAGACCTTAGCCTTATAAAAAAAAAAAACAATATTGATTGTATCTACATATATATAGCAATATATGTATATATATATATGTATGTGATTCCACGTTAAAAAGTGATATTAGAACGGTCACATTCCGTAATAGGAGTAGAAAAAATAATTTTCTGTCCAAAGATTAAATATTTTTGAAAAGTTGGAGGCATAATATTATTGTACCAGGAATATAAAGAAGCGAAATATCAAATGAACAATTAAAAAAATAAGATAAAGACGAGCAAATCATATAATGGAGCATTTGTTTTTTACATTTTTAAAATTATTAAAAACAAACGCAGCGTCCTAGACGTCTGGCAAATGTTATTTTAGATCAATATGATCAATTTAATATAAAACCTAAATGCCACAAATGGCATGACATAATGTTTTTAATGTTGTTAAAAACTGATTAAATTGTAAAAATGGATATATCGATCCAAAGGTGTTTAACGGCTTAAGTTAAATTTTTTACTATAGTATAGTATATAGTATATAGTATACTATACCCTACGTTAAAACTGTTGATATTCTTTACAGGGTGACGATATACAGGGTGTCACAAAACTCTGTGAAACAGGCGATGGTACGTTCTTCGAGAACTTTAGGTCATTCACATAAAAATATTAAAAATGTAATATTGTTACGGAAAAACTCATTGTAAACTTCTTTATTTTAAGGAAACGTACCATCTTCTGTTTTACAGTTTTGGGGCACCCTGTATAACTGACCGCTATTCCAAAAGGGACAAATAAATTTGAAACGTTTCACGACTAAAAACCTTTTATTAAAACAATTAAATTATTTCAACATTATCCATTTAATTAAGTAAGTTGATGGGTTGATAGGGTGTCACCCTTGAACACCAGATTCGGTTTGCCTCTTTAGATCACTGGATTTAACTATTTCTGACATTCTGGGGGAGTATATTAAAATTTAACTGAGACGTAAATCTATTTAAATATTACCACATATGTCTATCAAGACGTGGTTAATATAGTGCTTGGAAGAACTAGAGTCGGCGTGGCTTTCACAGGGATTTCATATAATTTTAATGTAATTTTAAATGTCCTGACTAATTCACCAACGCGTTAAAACGCCCAGACCAAACCGCTTGACCTAAAGGGCTAAAATTTTGACAGTGAATTCTATAATGACATGGGTAACCGCTAATATTTTTTTAATTCCATAAATTGGGACACTCAAAAATTACTTATAATTAATACCGGCGCATTTCCTTTTTTAAGGATTTAACGGCTGAACGGATTTTGATTACATTTGGAATAAAGGACTTGGAACGGGACGAAAATGAGATATTTATTGACGTTTCATTTAATATTAATATTCACAAAATAAATCAGTTAGTTATATATTACCCTCCCTATATAATGTAGTGTATATATTTATCTTTAAGCCTAATATGAGCTTAAAATGTGAAGCATAGAATTTGAATTAAACAAGGTATAACATCGTGTATCTAAATTATATATTTGCTTTTTTCAAAAGTAAAACTTAATTCCCAATGCATATTTGCTTTTTAACGTTAAAATTATGACAAATGATTTTTTTAATTTTATTTTAAAAGTAAGAAATATTATGGATTATAATAATCTGATAAATAAAATTTGCCTAATTAGGATTTTATAAAAGTTGCCAGGAGGGTGTTTCATTATAAAAATAAAAAATTCTTAATATTTATTCAATCATTTATTATTTGAAATATACTATATATTTACTAAAAAAAAATTAGGTATACAGGCTTTTTTATAAATGATAAAAGTTTCCATATCAAAGGCAATAAAAACGGCAACCCTTACGGAATTGCTCGTTATTCGTCTGTTTCTTTACGGAACTGTTTTATAGGAGACATTAAATTTGGGACCCGACTAAGCCATGCTAAAAAAGGCTTTACATAAAATACCATTATATTATAATTACTTAAAAAGTGGTTGATATTTTTTGCATTTATTATATTTTTTTACCAAACGAAGAGAAATGTATAGTAAATTTTAGGTGGTAAAAAAAATATATTAAAATTTACTTTAAACAATTTTTAGGGTAAGAATATTATATATTCGTCAATACAATATTAAGATTGTAATACAAAATACTATTTTTTATTATACAATTTTAGTAAAGATTACAACACCAATATTACTAAATCATAAATGTATAATATATATTTTAATATTTAATATGTTCGTATAGTAAATTGATTTTACTATCTACAAATAGTAATATTTACTATATGATTTAATCAAATGTAAGGTGTACATCTAATATTATAATATATTACACATTAATAAAAAAATATAGTAAAAATAAAGATACTTTTATGTTTAAGTTAAATAAACAATATATTTAAATATAATATACAATATAGTAACTCATGACATTTCAAACATTCAATTTTTTTAGTTTCTTCAATAAACTTTCTTGACCCATTACTGGTAATACTTATAAGAAATAATTCAACCTACTTGTGGATCACGTGATGTTCTTACATCTCGCCTCTGTTGGCTTGCCAACCATGTTATATAAGCTCAGGTATTTCTTTGTTTTGGGTGTGTTCCACTACTACAAGTTGCTCGACAGTGTCGTGTCGACACTGATAATACCCAATATAGGTCAAAACACCTGTCTGTCGTTTATGGAACGCACTCAAAACAAAAAACTTTGGCATGGTGTAGGTTCAATTCTTTCTCATTTTTGTATATTAAAAAATACAATAAATATGTTACAACTCTAATTGTTAACATATAAAAATATTCGATTTTAAAATTTACTATACTCATTAGTAATGGAAAAAATCTAATTATAATAAGAATTAAAAACAAAATTGGTTGAGAATAATAATATTTTACCGTAAGGTTTAACATACATGGATATTTAAAAATTACTAAATATGCATAGTATCTGGCAATATACAAGATAGTTGTCCCAAATAGTCATATAAATTATAGTAAAGGGTATTATAATTATGGTAATCCGCATTATACTTTTCTCTCCGTGCAGCCTAACACTTTTAAAACTATAGTTATATATGTTATAACAATAATTAATAGTATACAATTTCATCCTAAACTAGTCGCACAAGTGCACTAAGTGCTCGTTGAAATTAAATGCGCTCTCCATGTAACCTATGACTATTGCGACTACCGTGCAGAGTAAGGCGTGCAATTTCGACGTTATTTCTAGTTTGCACCACTTATTTTAAAGATATGGACGTGCCATCAGCAGCGGTGTACGGAGTGCAAATCAATTCTCGCAATATAAAATATTTTTAAATCAACAAAATATACTCGCGAAAAGTATGCCGAATGCATCCGAACGCATTAAAAGAGGGGTATTTTGCAGCGGCTTTAACCATTATTTGCTATATAGCTATAGATACAGTACATACCTCGAAGTAATTTATTAATTCCTTTTATTCTATATCAAAGGGTTAAGACAAATTGTTGTGTTTTGTGATGTACATGTCACAAATGTAACCTAGTCACTTTTAAGATAAAGCCAATCCATCTTGTGATTTTTAAAACTGTTTAGCAAGTATTCATTTGAGTGAGCAAGAACGTTAAAAATGTGTGAAATGTAAACAATAAAATGGGGTCGAATTAAAAGAATAAGGTAGCGTGCTGTTTTAAAAATCGGCGCCTTTCTTAAATTCCTTTTTCCACCCCCACCTTATATCGCCTATCTTTATGACACTAAATTACCTTTTAAATACGCATTGACAAGATGTGGATTAATGGCGTTTTAGTCACGGGCTGAAGTTTGAGTTAGTTTAAAGTTGTCAAATGTCATACAATAGTAAAATAAAGTGCCCTTCTAGTGAAATAATAATGTGGGAATTATTTTATTATCTTAATACAAAAATAAAAAGTATAAAATGGTTTCTCAACGCCAATACCTAGTTAAAAAGTTTATATGCTAGTTTTTCCTGACCTTTTGATTTTGCCGGCAGTAAACTAGATTTAACATTAAAACATTCTCTTCACTTTCACTGTGAAGAACTGCTTCTATATTATTATTTAAACGGTTTTTTTCCATTTTCAAGGGATAAATTTTGATTTACACATACAAATTTGACATTTTGACTGGCGCACCGGCAATACAGATTCCCAAGAGTTACTCTATTTATTATAGATGTCGCTCTATACAAATATGTATCATTTTTAGTTAATAAAGTTAATTATTTAATATAACAAGTTGTGTTTTTTTCAGAGAAATTCCGAAAAATTACTTAGGCTTATAGAAGAAGTATTTAGACATTTACCTTTGGGAACAATTTTAAATAACAAGGTGCTTATTGTACACGGCGGCATATCTGACACGACTGACTTAGAAATGTTGAAGCTTTTGGATAGGACTAAGGTAAGATGAAATTCTTCAAATTAATTTTAGACTGTCTTTAAACCCTTAAAATTAAGCCAGTTATAAATATTTAATAGGAAAGTGCTTCTGAAAATATTCCTCATAAAATTTTATGCAGCCAAGGATTTAATTAGACCTGTTAACAAGTATTTTATGGGTAATATACACACAATATTTAGATTTTATGACTTTTAATTTATGTAGTGTAGTTAAAAAGGAATAGTCTGTTTTTAATTTTTAAACATACCGAAGCTTTGGAAAAATATGTTACGTGATGTGAAATGGAAAAAACTAAAAAAGTGTAAGCACTTTTCAGCAATATAAACGTATTATATTTACTAATATTACAAACCATTTAATAAATTAAAAAATGTGATATCGGCCCACTGTGATGTTAAATGATTTGATAGTAATAATTTTACGTATAGGTACCATAAAATTTACTACGCTATTAAAAACATGTGTATTTTACATAAATTTTAGTTGTTATTGTTTCGTGAAGTTTGTTTCATATATGACGCTTAAGAGCTTTTATTGTTGCAAATAAATCAATATTATTAAGCATAAAATAAATACGGTCTATTTGAATATCGTTTCACCTATCACGTTTTGATTGTTTGTTTATGTTTGTGGGTATATTTGTTTCTTAAAAAAACAAAACTTAAGTATTTTACATTTACCTTAGCTTCAGTAAAAATTTTTAAGAATATTTTTTTGTTTTTCGTGTCTTTAAGGAAGTAATCTTGATATTTTTATTTTATTATTAAATCAATCGTTTTGAGTGGTATCTGATACACGTACGAGGTGTGTTCAGAAAATAACAGGAATTGTTAAATTTCGCGGGTTCGGAGGGTCCGGTTATCATAAAATTTTCTTTATTATGTCGGTATACATGCCTCCGAAGTATGATAAAAACTTTAGCTGTTTTCATTGTTTACTTTGTCTGTGGCATCCGCTAAGGTTAGACCTGTTTTATGAGCTCGGCGATTTTTCGTTCTTTAAAAGAAATGGATCAAAGAATTTGTATTCAATTTTGCTTAAAAAATGAAATAAATTCTGTGAAATATTAACAAACGCCTATAGTGAGTCTGCTATAAGTAAAACAAGATTTTACAAGTGGTATAAGAGTTTCCAAGATGGCCGTGAAGACGTTGAAGATGACGAACGCCCCGAACGCACAAGCACATAAACAACCGATAAAAACATGGAAAAAGCATAGATGACATTAAAAGCGCATCGCTGAAAGAACTAAAGGCTATCTCAAAGATCGAGTTTTAGAAGTGTTTCGAGCTGGCACATATGCATAATATTCAATGGGGACTGTTTTAAAGACGTCAAGATTAATGTAGACGAATAAATAAATATTTGTTTCAAAAAACGAAAATTTACGATATTTTCTGAACACACCTCGTATGAATTATTTTGACCAGGGGCGAATCCAGAAAAATATTTCGATGAGGGGTTATTAAAAGATTTATGTACAATGTACACCCATATTGACGGATAAAAAAAAGTTGACCGCATCGCCATATGTATCACCAGAAATGGTTATGACAAACTTTTGAGTATTTCAAAAATCGATAGTGGATTAAAAAAGGGTACGGCTCAAGCATGCGTTGATGCAGCCTAGAAACGTAAATTTGAATCGTTTATTAAAGGCATTGTATTTGATGTGACAAAAAGTAATACTGGTCTCCACACTGGAGCGTTGAAAAAATGCTTGGACGTGAACTTGTCTGGATTGATGCCTGCATCATTTCATGGAACTTACACTTTCGGCTGATTACTGTTCATTCGGTTCTACTGATGGTCCAAAAGCTGGACTATCCACCCACTCTCAGAAAGCGTAACCAACTATTGATTAAACTGCTTATAGCACAGCTGATACTGGTATGTTTCAGAATTCCTTATTTAATCGTTTGAAAAAAGATTTACTGAAACAGCAACCACGAGACGATTATAATGAATTTTTGAGTTTCTCTTCTGTTTCTTGGTGAATGAAATGAGCTTCTGGCCCTATAAATCATTCTTAATGAATGTCAAAATCTATTTGTGTCCTAAAAATATAACTCTTCTTTAATATTAAAGGAAAATACAAAAGTGAAGAATTCCTGAGAGTACAACATCAGAATTGGCCATCTGAATTGGGTTTCTTAGAATTTCCAAGACCAAGGAAAAAGAACAGTATTTATTCTGCTGATTATATTTTATAAACTATATATGATTTATCAAAACAAAAATGTTGGACTTGTACTGTTCTTAATCTCACCGATTCAGTTGATGTTCGTTATTAAAAGTGATAATTATTATTAAGAGTGATGATCGTTATTAAAATTGATGTTGTAAGTGTCTTCACCTAATAAAAATCGGGAAAATATTTAAAATCCTCGTTTGTTCAAGCACAAAACATATTGTTGTGAAAATAAGTAAATTACAATGAAAATAATATTTTAATTTTATTATTATTATTATTATTATTATTGCACAGTATTTATTTAAAAACTTATATTGATATACAATGACAGATAAGTATACATTTTTAGGAACTGCGAGTTTCAACAACAGTTGATTATAATCGATAATTGAGGAGCGTTTATTCAAAAAGGGACATGTCCATTTTAGCGATTTGCAGAAACAAGTCAAAAATAACAGAATTCTTTTGCTTTTGACTTATTTCTGAAAATCGCTTAAATGGACATGTCCCTTTTAGAATAAACGCTCCTCAATTATCGATCGATTATTATCGATGTAACTTTTCAACAAAAAAATCGTTCAAAGTTGTTTGTAGTCTTTAAGAAATAATGTAATGCAACCAAATTTTTTTGCAAGAAACATTTTTATTATCCTAAAATTATACGTCAATAATGGGAATAAAATTCCTATTGTTGTGATGTATTAAACCTCTACACATGTGTAACGTTCCAACGCAACCAATGTTACATTTTTGTTGATTTAGCATTTAATGATTTTAATTAGTTTTGACCAAAAATACTGGAAAAAGGACTCGCTTAAAAAAGAGTTCCTGGAGTCGAGCAGGTGTGCGGTCCTTTCTCGTGACGTCATGTATACGGTTATATAAGTAGTCTTCTTCTTCTTCTTCTTCTTTCAACCAGGGCGGATTTATGGCTTAACCACCGCCCTTATGGTCCTGGACAAAAGTCCTTATTAACCAGATACAAGTTTTAACGTCCAATGATTACAGAATAACCAAAAACCATTGGACAACGGTTGTCTAACGAACACGTCGACACAAATAGGTTATGTAACCTTAAAATTTATAACTTTATATAAATTCCTCTTATCCTTTGTAAAAGGACTAATTGAGGAATATTATCGAGCAACAGGAATATTTCTATTCCGGGAACCCCATTTTGCCCCTCCCAGGTGCAGAAGTAACTTATATTTCACTACTTTTTCATAGAGAAACCACATTCTACGAGATTCAAAATGGAACTCCTATATAAGTAGTGGGGTTGCTTAGTAATATAATTTTAAATGTCAAAAACCGGTTTGTCGACATACGTCCGGTATACATCCCACATACGCTATACAAAGAAAACAGCAAATTGTAATGTCTGAGCTTGGTTCACAAATTAATGACGCAACGAAAAACATTCGACGCGGTGACTATACTTGATTGTTTGTGTGTGTATCTCGCGTCAGCTGTTGAAAAATTTCAGAATTTATTACAATTGTTGACAGTTCATAATTTAAATTATTTTCATTTAAAGTTAAAAAATTAACGTTTAATTGATACCCCGTGAGATAAGATTACAAAGGTATGCATTTTTGATGATTTCATAGTCTAGTAAAAACACAGAAAATGACACTTACGTTGTTTCATTTGAAATCGCTCCTAGATATGTCGAATTTCAAAGACAATCATATTAGACAATCATATTAGACAATCATATATAAGGAGTATTAAAATACAAAAGGCGTGGTTGTTTTTTGTTGGTTATATTCCTTGTACCGAGCATCCGTTCAGTGTTGCCACTACAACGTTGTCAATGACAACTTGTTATATTTACAAACTATTTAACCACAGATCATTTAACTTTTAATATTTAAGGTAATCGGGAATATGCCAGTAAAAGAAAATTAAATCAATTAAAATAACATAACTATTTGTCAGGAATCTTGGAATTTAAAAGCAGAATATCCAATAGCTATCAACATAACCCGCAATAACGTTTTATCTGAACTTTTAAAGAATTTCAGTAATTTTAAACTGTTTCTCCCTTTAAAATGAAAATACTTGTAAAATAAAGTGTACAAGAGCAATTTTAATAAATTTGAATACATTTTCTTGCTAAGCATAAAAGCTCTATGCATTCCTTATTTAAATAGGGATGTTATTTTTGACTTAACGACAGCAAACATTAAACATAAAATTTATTGAAAATATATGTTTTATCTACAATTAAAAAATCTTCTAGACTGTAAAAATAATTTAGACCTATGGGGTAAAGTTTTTAACCTCCTAGTCTGTGAAAAAACCCGTTTGAATCGATAAAAAATTAGAATACTGTCAGATCTAATCTAACTCCACTTTCAACTTCTAATAAATATTATAATTGCACATTTTATGTATTTTTTTAACAAATAAAAGTATGCCCTGATTATGAAATATTGTTTGCCATGCGGCTGATAAGTGTCTTTTTGTGCTTCGCTCAATTGCAGGACCAGTTTTACGTCGGGATTCAAACTATTGGAAATAACTTTTTTTATAAAATGTTCAATGAAATTAAAAATAAAGGTTCTTCTCTTTAGAATCGGTGTTTTTCTAATATTTGAATTTTGTCAAAACATTTTATCAAGAATGACTTTTCTTTGAAACAAACAAAACAATAAATGTTTTCCTATTGTTAACTCAATTCGGAGACATCCTGTACATGAATATATGTATGTACCAAGTTTAATTTTTTTTCGTCCAGTAGATTTGAGAAAAATAGACAGACACGAGGGTGTACATCGGATGGACGAAGCCCAAAAAACACCTTTTATTTCGTTTATTTTCAAAACTTATCTTAATGTTTTTATTTCTTTCAGTATGTCTCTTTACTTCGTCCGCCAGTTAGTGAAGTAGGAACAGAAGCCATTGATAAAATGGAGTGGAAACAGGTAAAAACAATAAACTTACTTTATATTCATTTTCTAATATATTGACTGTATTATACAGTCTATATTTAAACACGAACAAACACGTAGAGCTTTTAAGTACTTATATATAAACCTTTGTGAAGAACTTGAAGTGAAGTTGGGATGTCAAATATCGCTATGTCAAATATCGCTCTAAAATCTAGATAGGTAAACTTTATATTATGTAAGTAAGTTATAAGCACTTTAAATTTTAACAAAAGTCTTACGTACCCAGGGACATTTATATCTATCTAGAAAAAGTATTCCTGCTAAAGCTACTTTGGTAAATAAATAATAAATTCGATTTAAATACTTAGTAAGCCCTTGTTTAGTAATGTAAAGGTTGCGAAATTCGAAATCCATGCTTATAAATAAACAAGGATATCTTTAATCATTTAATAAAAAAATTTAGACAGTAGGTACACTGTATGTAAGTAAATTTACTTTTCATTATGTGCGCTTATATTTCCCAACGGCTTCGATGAAGATTGTTTCTTAAATCAATCAATGACGATATGAAGGATAATGTAGATAAACAAGAGGGTTGGGCATAAATAATGGATTAAATGGGTCAATGTTAAGTTTATTAATATTGTGTTCACTATGTAACCACACTAATTATTTATAAATTTTGATATTCCCTAACACGTTTGACATAAGATCTATTTTCAGGAATTCTAAATTTCGGTATTTGCTTTTATATTACGGAAGTTTAGAAAACGGTAACATCATTATGTGGACAACTAGAGCCAAGTTTGATATTTACTTCAGTTTTTAATTTTACTGACAAATAAAATTAAAACAAGCATAAAAACTTCTTATTTTTCTCTACAGGTGTTCGATATTTTATGGTCCGACCCTCAAACGACTGATGGGTGCATTCCAAACCAATTGAGGGGCGCAGGGACGTATTTTGGGCCCAACGTGACCAAACAGTTTTTGGAAAAATACAAACTGTCTTACTTGGTCAGATCTCACGAGTGTAAACCTGAAGGATATGAAGTGGTGCATGAAAATAAGGTAAGTAGAGTAAAACACCATATATCTTGATACATATAAAAAGTGATTTTAGGTTGCGTGTAATTTTTATTTATTTTGTTCTTGAAATACGTGCGTTTTATTAATTGAAGTAATTTTATGTGCATGAAAACAGGTAATAAAAATATTCGGTTTTAATTGAGTTTATCGAAAATCAATAGAGGATAACTTAACTCTTTTTAATAGGCTCACAACTAAATTAAAACTAATTGTTCAAAACAGGATTTTATAGGAAAAATTAATTAGTATCTGCCACTGCACACAATATCAAGTAATAAATGACAAAAATAATTTAGTAGGTATCGAACGGCCCCTGGGAATTGCAGGCATCTTTGCATCGATGGTTTGATGATCCGAAAACTTTTCCATAATAACTTCTAAAATTATAATATTTATACCCTCACTTAAAAAAAACACGTCACCAGAAATTGACCACAATTTTAATGTTGATTTCCTCGCGAACACTTATCTTAATGATTTTTGAACTGCAGGTTGACTCTTAAGAAACGATGTTATGGTTAAATTTTTAATATGGGTTTAAATTTAAGCAAAATTAAGACGGCGTTTTTTTTCTCTGAAATTTGTGACATCAATAACAACAGAGAATCTCAATTGAAATTATACTGTAGTCACTATCTTATAGTCCTATTTTTTCTAAACATTTTATTTTTTATTATTTCTGTTAATAACGACTCCTAGGATAAAGTGTTTTTATAATTTTCTCGAGATCCGCTTATCTCTAGGTTAACTAAATAAATATTAGAAATATTCCCCAACACCAAAACAAAACACAAAGTGCTTAAAGTACTTTTCTCCAACGCATATTCCAACTATCTTCTTTGAAGATGGCGAAAAGTACTTTAAGCACTTTGTGTTTTGTTTTGGTGTTGGTGAATATTTCTAATATTTGTTTAACATATTACCAAAGTTGTCCTTTTTGAAGTATTTAGGTTAACTCTTCAGTAACGATGCTATAATAATAATAATAATAATAATGATTTATTGCCCAACAGAATACAATATTCCAATTAAAGGACAAATTATATATAAACAAAGTATTATTATTATTATAGAGGGCTTTTAATGAAAAACTAGCCATTCTTAATAACTTTTAAGTTATAGTAAATATTATCTTAAACAAAAACAGGTCCATTTGGATATCGAGGGGAAAGTACAAATCCAGTGTTAAAATTTTTTATGTTGCACCCTCTCACCTCAAGATACCCTTACTAAACACATAATTTTAAAGAAAATTCAATTTATGATACATTGAAGTTTTAAAAATCCGACTACGGATTTGCAAGTAAGAGCCAAAATTCTTCGATAAAAAGCGATTCAATTATTTCGTTGCCCATACATTGTTTTTTGAGGATAAACAACAAACAACAAACAAATTGAAAATCTACCCAACAAACTCAGCTCTGCATTATATACCATTAGAAAAATAAAAATAAGTGCTACTCACCAATGTGCAAGAATAACATATTTTGCAAGCTTCCACAGCCAAATAATCTATGGTATTTTACTCTGGGGAACCTCAAGGAACTGCGATAGGATTTTTAAACTTCAAAAAAAAAGCCATAAGAACTTTGTGCTCTCTCAGTAGTATTGAAAACTGCAAACCGCATTTTATCAGGGAATATTTCCCTCGTCTTAATATACACCAATCACAAACGCGCAATTTTGAATTACAAATGGTTTCTAGGTGAAAGCACCTGTCAGCAGTTTATTCGAGTTTACCCGCGGCAAAACTTGACAGCTGTTGTCACCAAAAATTGCAATTTATATTTTAATTGTTAACTGTTACTCATGAAATAGTCTTGTCAAATACCATTCGGGCATCTAATTTTTCCTGTGAAAAAAATCGAAAAAACACAATGCTAAGTAATATTTTTTAACAAAATGCATTCGTGCAGGTGCAAAAATCCTCCTCTTCGACTCGGATTTTTGTTGCCACCAGCACTCATGCTTTTTGTTAAAATATTACTTAGCAACGTGTTTTTTCGATTCTTTTCGGAAAAATTAAATGCCCTTATGATATTACTTACGACAATACTTACAGTCCACAGTCTATTTGTTTTATGTATTTTAAAGTATGTCCATGTAAATAAGAATAGGTTTTTTTACAAATGGAGTATATCATAGCTAAAATACAAGAAACATAAATAATTTCCAAAATCCCTATCATAAACTTAATGGAACCCAAAAATATGTAAACTACTGGGGACCAAAACTCTACAATTGTCTACCACAACATATGAAACTATACAACTGTGATAAATTTGAAAAGACTGTTAAAGATATGCTAGTCAATATGGGCCTATACAATGTAAATGATTTCTGGGTGCAAAATAAAATTTAACACTGGATTTGTACTTTCCCGATGATATCTAAGTCCACCAAGTGGGGTGCAATAGCAACAACAGCGTTTGTAGCCCTTTCCTGTCTGAGCATTTTGTTTTTTATTTTCGTTATTATCTCTGTTATTATCAAATATATACTGTTTTTAAGGAAACGTACCGGATTAAGTATTTGCAAGTGAATATAAATAAAACATTCATGAACATAAAACCCGTAATAAAAACGACAACATACCCACAAAACTTAATTTCCCTTACGTACAAAGGAATGTAACCTACATGATAATAAAAATATTTAATAAAATACCTGAACAATACAGAAACTTACCTGTCAAAGTGTTAAAGAAGCAACTAACGTTATTTCTAATAAAAAAGCGTTTTATAGTATGTATGAGTATTTGAATGATGAAATAATTCTTTAAATTCACTGAATTTAATAGGTGAGTCATTTTCAAGAAACACCCGCTTTCAGGAAAATAAAGATCAAAATTTTGTTTGCTTAAATTGATCTTTGGTTAGATTTTTATAAATGTTTAGAGTTTTGTTTACTTACATTTAAGACAAGCCGTGCACTTTTTAATTTTTTTTACGTTTTTTTCAGAAAAATTTGTTTAGCTAGCTTAATATGCATATCTCTGTGTTACCAATTTAAAATCCAAAATTTAATTCAATAAAAAAAGTTGTTATAAAAATAGTTTGAAATAAAATGTACTTAGTTCACAAACTTTTGACTCCAATTTTTTATTTTATTTTTTTATTAAAAATTGTATGCTTTTTTTAAATATTTATGTTCGTTAAGTTACTTTTTAAAAGAAACCATTTCGATTCATTGTTAAAAAAACAATACCATTAATATTTTCTTTTAGTCACTGTATTAGTGAGTTAAACTCTAATTTATAAACACGTATTACCAAGTGATAGTGTATAAAAATCATTTGAAGTATTTATTTTAACAAAAACTAAAAAAAGTAAGGAAATAGACATTGGTATCACAACGGACTGGGGTACACAAAGGACTTAATCAGATAACGTAAAAAAAGAAACTATATAGGGTGGTACGATTTTAGAGTAATGCATAAACAAAATCCCTTGTAGTGGTGCTCACTTGCACAATAACAACTTGGATTTCTAAATTGTAGACACCCTTTTTCTTTGACTACAAGCTGATGAAAGTCTTGCGTCCCTTTTAGTACTTGAATATTGCGTGGAATTTTCCCTTGGATGTAATGAGTTGTAATCACAAAACAATTTAAATTGGTTTATCATAAACTACTTTTAATAAAAGCGACGGTAAATATCAACTTTGTTGTCGAAAAATTCTATTGCGTTACCCTAAATTCCATTGCGTTACCATAAGGTAACATAATGGACTCGGTAACGCAGTGGAAAAAGTTTTGTGAAACCATATTTACAAAATAATAATAAGACATTACAGTCATTAATTATTCTCAATGAGCTTTAGTCCCTAAAATAAACATAAACATGAAAAATAGTATTTTTTCTTACCTTATTATTATTTTTTTTTGAGTAACTTAGCGGACAAACAATTATTACATTCGCGTTACCCGCACCTGTTTCAACCGATATCTTCTTCCTGATTGAATACGTCCGAACATCATTTGTTGATCACGTGAGTGCCAAAAAAGTTGCCATATATATGTTTTTTATCGGTAACGCGACAGACGTAACGCAACGGAAAAAATGTCTGGGATTGAGTCAAATTTAAAAAAAGTATATTAATAGTTATTTGTTTTACAAGTGTTGAAAAGCGACTTCTTCATGCGAGTTTTTAAGTTGCTCACGAGGCCGTTAGGCCGAGTGTGCATTAACACGAGCTTGAAGAAAGCTTTTCTCACAAGTATAACACAATGTTTTTCTACGACCCTTTTATTTTTTATTATTTTTAAATACAAAACAAAATAACCTAAAAACGTGTTTGACAGCTGAATGTCAAACGATGCTGTCAATTTCTTTTCACACAGACCTGTCACTTTTCACACAGAAATGTCACTTTACATTCGTGTTTTGCCTTGCTAATGAAAAGATTCATTTTCTAAGCAACGATGCCATCATGAAAAGTGACTTTTACATAGTGGTCGTAGAAAAAATTTATAATAATTTATATACAATATATATAATATATATAATTGAAGGGGTTAGAATAGAAAGGGTATAAGTGCAATTTCTTTAATTTAGGAGATAAGTTCGTTTTGTGAAAGATAAGGTTCCGACGTATCGAAATGAAAAGGATTTAAGTAATTTTCATACTTCTAGGGACCTCTATTATCCAGTAGAAAAACATTACTAAACAAAATTCCTCACTATTTTATGGTAACATAACTTTAACTTCAAATATCTCCAAAAAATGAAAATGTTACTTATACCCTTTTTATTCTAACCCCTTCAATTGTTTACTGTATTAACAAAGGATGTTATGGATTGCTATAAAGCAACACATAGTTCTGGTTATTCAATATTTAGAAAAAAACATGTATTTAAGTTTCATAACACGCTAATGGGACATGCGAAAATGTGTGTTTCACAAGTTTCAAAATTAAAAAAAAAAATTATTCTGAAATAACTAAACAAATATTTTCTGAAAGAGTTTAGTAAGGGCTTGTTAGGCTTTCACTTGGTTTTTAAATCAATAAGATCCGATAATTTTTAACAAAGTTATTGGAATTCAAACTTACGGACAGCGGAAGGCGGGTGTTTTTTGAAAACAACCCAGGTAAACTATTGTAAATTCTTATTTTTATTTATTATTTTTTACTTATGTTATATTTTGTAAATTTATTTATTGTACTTGACATGTTTCACACCCTATGGGTATAATAATTATTCGTAAGTAATATCATAAGGGCATTTAATTTTTCCGAAAAGAATCGAAAAAACACGTTGCTAAGTAATATTTTAACAAAAAGCATGAGTGCTGGTGGCAACAAAAATCCGAGTCGAAGTGGAGGATTTTTGCACCTGCACGAATGCATTTTGTTAAAAAATATTACTTAGCATTGTGTTTTTTTGGTTTTTTTCACAGGAAAAATTAGATGCCCGAATGGTATTTGACAAGACTATTTCATGAGTAACAGTTAACAATTAAAATATAAATTGCAGTTTTTGGTGACAACAGCTGTCAAGTTTTGCCGCGGGTAAACTCGAAAAAACTGCTGACAGGTGCTGTCATACAGTTTTTTTACCTAGAAACCATTTGTAATTCAAAATTGCGCGTTTGTGATTGGTGGGAATTAAGACGAGGGAAATAGTCGAACAAATAAAGGTTGTCAGTTATTGTGGAATATGACATATGCCATAATTGACAATATTTATTTTATTATGTTTAGTAATTATTGTCGATTGATTTACGTTATAAAAACGCTTTAGTATCTTTCTTTTCTAAATTCAATTTTCGACCGAACGCATAGATACTGACTTGGAAGTAGAAGACTGTTCCAAAATTAGACCTTCGAGATGCGCTCCTCATAATTAATACAGATTTTTTTATTCAATCACAATTATTTTCCGTTTTATTTTAAAAATAACTTTTACTTTAGAAAGATTAAGAAATTATTTTCAGTAATAGTCCCCTTAGATATCTTAAAATATACTTTCTATTAATGTTATTTTCTTTGTCTTTGTCTTAAATGTATTATATTTGGTTTTTAGGTAATAACAATATTTTCAGCATCAAACTACTACGAAATGGGCTCAAACAACGGTGCATATCTAAAAGTGGTTGGGGACAATTTGGACACGCATTACGTGCAATACATGGCAAAATCCGGAAGAAAAAATCTCACCTTCTTCCAAAGAATGAGTATGGTAGAAACCGGGGCCATTAAAGAACTACAAATGCAAATATCCTCGAACGAAGATAAACTTTTAAATTTGTTTAATACGTACGATCCAGAAAATGTTGGTAAGAGAAAAACTTTATGATTATTTTAGGCTATTAGTTGGGAGTACCCTTTAAATGTTGTTTTATCAGTTTGATGAAGCACTAATTGAACTCTCATGCAACTTGTAACAAGATAGTGTGCAATTATTAGTTGGTGAAACTTAAAATAAGGGTTTGTAGATATAACATGATATCCAGTTTGAATATGGTCCTTAAGCAAACAACGACAAGAGTCCTTAGGGATTCAAACAATAATTGATTTCAATTATATTTATCCATGGTTTCTTACATAATTTAACCCAATAAATAAATTGCAATAGCTATGATAACCTGTTCGTTTGTAATAAATAATCGATGCATTATGAATTATTTATTTGTTTTGCAGGACTAATAACAGTAACACAATGGTGCAAGTCGATGGAAGCCGGAACGAACTTGCAAATTCCTTGGAGATTGCTTAAAGAGAAGTTGGTTACCATCGATGCCGACACTGGGAAAGTAAAATATTCAACAACTTTCGAAGTGAATAAAACATTAACTCATATAAACGTAAGCAAACTTTATTAAATAATTTTACATTGTTTTGATTTATCTTATTTTATGTTCGTAATAATTAATAGGTCACACAGGAAAGAAAAAATGTGTTTTATCAGTAATTATACAAACCATATCAAATCAAGCAATGATGGTTGCTGACGAAACTAATTTAATTTTTTTTTACCTGTTATTGTGCTATATTGGATTAAAACAGGTCTTTATTAACTTTTTAGATCTTTAATTTTTTTAGCGGTCACATTGTATTGGTGTGTCAGCCTATTTTGCATTTTACAGAGGTTTTCGTTAAACCCTAAATATTTAAAGTTATTAAGTTTAAACAAAAACCTCGTTATAACGAGCATATAATGTACTTTATAAAGAGCATATAATTATAAAGAGCATATAATGTACAATATTTTCTGTCCAGTAACCTACTGAACTATAAATAAATAAAAAAAAATTGCAAATGTTAGCGTTTTCAATATAAAAACTTTCACTTTTACAATTAAAATATTAAAGATAAAACTAATACTCACTTTAAATATTTTCTTCTGGAGTAGCATTTTTGGTTGATGAAACGTATCGGCCACTTATACTTGAAACAGTTACGTTTCAACAACGTTTTTGGATTGTATACAGACACGTTTATACCACGAAAAGAATATAAAAATTTGTAAAATTTGTAAACCTAGCGGATTTAAAAACTATTATCCAGACACCATAAATAATTTCTTTACAATTTTTGGTCACCTGAAAGGAATAATTATTTATTAACGTGTTTAATTTGGTGTTGTACTAACCAGAATTATTTGTATAAAACTACACATTTATTTTTTACAATGGCGACTATTTGTAAACATGTCTGCTTTTGAAGAAGGAAACCTTTAAGTTGGTCCTATGCGAAACGTGAAAATCATTTAAGCATGTAGCAAAAACTACTACCATTTCCAAGTAATACTTAAGTGATGTGGTTTGATTGCCGTTACTATTCATAGTCCATTTTAAAGTTTGGACAACTTTATGGTGGTTTTATATTGTATATTCTGCTGGTGCATGATTAATTAATATAATATGAAGTAAGTTCAACTATTGATTAACTTCATTCAACGGTTAAACTCTATTGTGGTAGATTTAGTTATTTTAACGTACCGTAAACACGGGTGACTTTGCACCCCGCGGGTGACTTTAGATCTTTTATGAAAAATCTTTTCGCGCTCGATAAAATTAACATTTATAATTTGTTGGTCTAAACCTGTCAATTGAGCGATTCTATTGAGTTTATATTACAGGAAAATCAGTGTTTTAAAAAATAAATGGGATTTATTACACTTTAAAATTGTATACATTGCATTAGTGCAAAACTCTTAAAAATACACGCGTTTCAATTTCTATAATATGCGCAATTCTTTGGAATGAGTTGCGTCGGGACATCCGAAGTGGATAGACGTGTCAAGTGGTTAAAGAGACCTCTCCTAGCAGCGTATACGAGAGAAATATAATAAAGTTCCAAAAACAAACCAAAGTATTCGGAAATATCGGTCATCGGTAATAATAAATAAATAAATAAATAAATAAATAAATAAACATTCAAGTGCGGAAAGTGTGATAAGGGCAACAAGTGCAAAAAGACTGCAACAAGTGCAAAAAAAAGTGAAACAAGTGTGAAGAGTGGGAGATCTCCCATTAAAGCCGTAAAAGAGTGCAATTGAATAAGTAATAAAGGCCAACGGTCCACCTGGTCAGAAGGGATAGTCGCAACCAAAACCTATCAAGTACCTGCAGGGAGGTCCAGAAACATCGGACAGACCGTGAAAGACCGAGCATCAGGATTATAGCCGAATATCCAAGCTAAGTAATTTTTCTAACTGCACACTGAGAAAACGAAATATTTAATATTAAGAAATCAAAACAGTTGCGATTTTTTTAAAATATTTGTTAACTATTAAAAAATTTCTTAATCGTGAACAAATTATATACTAATTATTAAAACATCGTCCGGTGACTGTGTTTCAGACAAATAAAGGATAAAGTTGTCTTGGAACTGTGAAATATTAACAGTTAATATACCTAAATAAAACGTTTTAACATTTGTCAACATAATTTTAAATGCAATATGCGCAAGCATGTGACGTTGCCGTAGTTTTTTACAAAATGGAATTTCGATATATTAACAGTTAATATATCTACATTTGCTAATACGTTATGAGCTTCTTTAATTCAACTTAACCAGTTCTTAGACCCAAATTAATATTTCTTTCGCCATATCCAACTCAACGATGTTAATAGTTAATGTGCCTCGTTATTAACAAATATTTCGTTCTCTCAGTGCATGTCTAATAACAAACCATTTTATTCCAAAAAATCTAGTAAAACGTATCATATTTCGAAAAGGAATTTTAAGTTTCCCAGCTGGCACCAGAAAGCAAAAATTCCTATTAGACAGACCACACAAGTCATTACATAAACAAAACAGAAAAGGCAGATAAGACTCCATCCCCCAAATAAACACTTGACTAATACCATAAATAAACGCCAAAACATAAATAATAATAAACACAAACCAAACAAACATGGAAAAAGTAAACACGAGCAATCATTCGGTGGGAATAATTAAAATGCCATCCGACGGAAATTGCTTAGTGGCCAGCTTGGCCCATCAACTAGAAATAGCCTGACAGGGTCAATAAATACATACGCATTAAGACAAAGACTAAATAACCACTTACGAACACACATGGAGACTTACAGCCCATACTTACAGGATGCGATCCTTGACCATCCCCACCGCTACGCGCATATTAACGACTGGGAACGCAAAACAGAGGCGTACTTAAAGGACCACGCACAAAACGGCTTCTGGCTGGGTTTAGAAACAATAATAGCAGCATCAGACATATTTAACGTCGCAATCGAAATACATCACGAACAGGGGCGTACTGACAAGATATCCTTCAGACATAACAATAGCAACCGGTCAAAAAAAAGTCGGTAGATCTTGCTACACATTCCACGACACCCTGGCCCAGACAATCCAATTCTCACAAACCGATCTCGCCAGCTGGGAACAAATCAGCTCCCACAAAAACCGTATGCGGGAGGAGACGGAAAAACTGTATCAACTTCCGGAATCCGACTCGGAGACGGACACAGAAACTGACGAACCGGAAGTAAACCAACAAAGATAGGAGTAAGAAACTAACTAACATACCCACCCCCCATTCACGAATACCAATTGAATGGGGGTACTACTAAGGCCTAGGTTGAGGAGGATTCCGGATTGTACTTAGTTTTGGGTCAGTTCAATGTCCTCCAAAAACCCTTCCTAAACTGGACGTATGGCCCGACCCGGCTGACAAAAATTCCGGGAGCTGCCTTAACCTTTGACACTGTCATCCACGAACTCCTAGGGTGGATCTACCAACCGGCGTAAAAACTTCGGATCCAACAAACACAGGTAATGCTGTGATTTGGCGGGATACGCAGGAGAACGGAAAGGGGGTAATATAACCCCGGGTTCAGTGGATGACAATATATCTGGGGCTTGCCATACGTTCCCATACTCATACTCATACTCATATGCGCAATTCTTTGGAATGATGATCCTTGGTTAACTACATGTCGAATTTTTATTGTTTTTATCGGCAACCCCTTGCAATTGCTATATGTCGTTGCTAACATTTGTCTAATAAAAATAAAATAAAATATTGAGTTAATTTTATACGGACTATTTCCCTCGTCTTAATTTCCACCAATCACAAACGCGCAATTTTGAATTACAAATGGTGTCTAGGTGAAAAAACTGTGTGACAGCACCTGTCAGCAGTTTATTCGAGTTTACCCGCGGCAAAACTTGACAGCTGTTGTCACCAAAAATTGCAATTTATATTTTAATTGTTAACTGTTACTCATGAAATAGTCTTGTCAAATACCATTCGGGCATCTAGTTTTTCCTGTGAAAAAAATCGAAAAAACACAATGCGCTAAGTAATATTTTTTAACAAAATGCATTCGTGCAGGTGCAAAAATCCTCCTCTTCGACTCGGATTTTTGTTGCCACCAGCACTCATGCTTTTTGTTAAAATATTACTTAGCAACGTGTTTTTTCGATTCTTTTCGGAAAAATTAAATGCCCTTATGATATTACTAACGAAAATACACTGTGAGACAAAGTAACCCGCAACCAGGGGATAACTTTGCACACCCAGATTTTAATTTTAATTTTTGAAACTCAGCCCTATGTAAGATAATAACATAGTTATTATGAAAGAGAACTTCAAGACTCAAATTTTGGTATACATTATTGTTTTTGATTGTTAAAACTACAAAAATGTTAAGATTAAGTTTGAAAGTGAGCTAAAGCCACCCGTATTTACGGTACTTAATTGCCACTCATGTTAAGCTGCGATATCAGTTTTCGTCACTATAATGCTACTTGGGTAGTCTTTATAGCATAATACTTTTCGAAAAAGTTTTAGGCGTTAAAGCATCCACTAAAATTTTTCGATTCGTCTTAAATCGGGTATTTTTAATCTGAAATAACCCAAATTGTTTTTATAATATGTGGTTCAAATTTCATTACTAAAGCTTAATTCGTTTTTTAGTTGAACATTTTTAGGAATAGCTAAAAAAAAAGTCACGCATGTCCATGGACAGCAGAAAAAGGGCAAACGAGCATTAGTATGACGCCCGAGCAATGCGAGACTTTTATAACATAGTGTGTATTTTGTTTTAAACATTTGGGATTCGGGTTTTGTCCCTTGTCCACAGGGCCGGATTTAATCATGGGCACTTTGGGCAACTGCCCAGGGCGGCAAATTTTTGGGGCGGCAAATTTTGGTGGAAAGATTAATATTTTCCGAAACATTAAAATTTGGTTACGAAGATATCATTATAGTCTAAGAATATTAGTGAAAGCTAAAACATTCACCCATTTGTTAAATCCAAACTCCTCATAATTACATATAACTAAATGTATGATTTTACAGGGCGATTTTTTTAGAAAAAAATTCATCAACTTAACTCAGTTTATCTCAAACTATACATTGCGCAGTGGAAATTTGAATTTTGGCTCTGCCCGACACGGCGCCTCCCCCGTGGCTGCCATATTGTGTCGTACTTATAATAATTTTATCTAGTGTAGTGCTGCCAAATATTACATTACCGTGTATGTACTATGTGGTACTATGTAAACAGAACAGTCTGGAACAGTCTTTTTCTACTCCTATTACGGAATATAATACAATGTAATTATATAATACCACTTTTTAATGTGGAATTGCATATATTCCTTAAACTCTTACATAATGAAATATTCTATCATCGGATGGCGGAATATGGTCTAAAATATCATTTTTTAACGTTGTTCAATCATTGTACAACTTCTTTACTACGTCAACACATCGGTGGGAAATTTTGAGGTCCACTGAGAAAACCAAATTAATAACATTAGCATCTTTGTATCAATATCAAGAAATTTACGAAAACTTTGCCATTATCGTTTAATTTGATAAGCTGGAATCTGAGGAAATTCGTGAAAAATCAAAATTACTGAGAGAAATCTATCACTCAGACTTTGAACGATGAGTTTGTTCACTTCCACGCATTTTGTCATGCCAAAAAAATTCACAAAAAGTCTCCATTAGAATTATTAAAATCAATTCGTGAAAATGAATTGTCCTGCGTTTTTCCGAATGTTGAAATCGCAGAAAGGTCGTTTTCCTGTTTAAAATGGATAAAAAACTATTTGCGTTCCACGATGACAGAAGATCGCCTCAACAGCTCAGCAATTTTGAGTATTGAATCTGAATTGCTCCGTTCTTTAGACTTCGAAAACTTAATCACTCAATTTGCTAATAAAAAAGTTTGGCGAGTATTTATCTGAGAATAATGTTAGCGTTCTGACAAAACAAAATGAAAAGTTACTAGTTTCTGATTATCGTGATTGTATAGTTATTTGATATTGTATGCATAGTTTCTTATAATTATATTCGCACTGTATTTTTGTATGTTTAGTTTCCAACAATCAAATTTGTATAAGATATTGTGTAAAAAATAAAAACATTGATGTAAACTGATGTTAAATTCGTTTGATTTTTTTTCGACGAATTCGTAGCTTTGATAAAATGGGCGGCAAGATCATGACTGCCCAGGGGCGGCAAGAATGGTAAATCCGGCCCTGTCTGATTGCTCTTCAATTGTGGACAAGTTGTCCACAATTGAAGAGCAATCAGACAAAACCAGATAATTCCATTTTGACTTCTTGAATGATTGCTATTTCTTTTGGTCAGATAAATTAATTGGAAAAGTCAATTTCAAGCTGAAATTATTAAATTATATACTAATAATTATTACTATATAATATGATAACAAGTTTAGCTTGAAATATATATTTCCAATGGACCAAAAGAAATAGGAATCATTCAAAAAGTCGAAATGGATTTATCTGGTTTTGTCGGATTGCTCCTCAATTGTGGTGTGAAATTCGCTCAATACATAGTGTGAAACATTGATGACTTCTCGACCCAGGGGAGACAAAATTGGATTCTCGGTATGGAAATATACTTGTATTTTTAGACAATATCGCAAGCTTTGACCTTTAAGCCTGGTATTTTATAATTGGTACAAAAGATGGAGTGGAAGATCCAAGATTTAAAAAACTCACGAGGCTGTGGGTGGAAGGCTTTGTAAAGCGCATGGACGTTAAATCTAGTAACTGAACAGTTAAGAAGAATGTACTTGAATTTTTACCATAAGCAATGTAATACTTGTACAATAACAGCCCTTCCTGAAATGTTAACAACTTTTTACAACACAATAAAAATTTTGTCTCTTAAAAAATACCACATTTTAAACGAATCATATATTTTAGCTATTTCTATAAACTTAGTTATGAAATTTTAGCCACTTGTTATAACAAAATAATTGAATTGATTTTAAAAAATTTGGTTTTTAAAAGTATATCCCTTTCTTTATATATTTCATATTGAACATACCCGATTTTAAACAAATCAAATAATATTTTTTTTAAATTCTCCGATTTGAGATTAATCAAAATATTTAAAGACCCAATAAAAAAAGGATGCAACTCTAAGACATAAAACCTTTAGTGAAGTAATATAATATAATACTTAATCCAGAAAAAATTAAGAGTTGAGTCTTGGTTTTATCTTTAATATTTGTAATTGTAAAAGAGAGTTTATTATTAAAAAGTTTACCTATTTTTTTGTTTATTTAAAATTAGGTGGCTACAGAGTTTAACGCAAACCCCTGTAAAACCCAAAATAGGCTGACACACCAATTCAAATAAAACATACTAAACATTTAAAAAATTAAGGAATACATTTTATTTCTCTGAGTATAGTAAAAACGTACGTACAAAATAAAAAAATAAATATTTTTTTAAGCAACCTCTTCAAATTAGTTAATTTAATTTAATTAACTTTTATGTTAATGCCAAGTCTTAATTAATATCGAATATAAAAAAGGGATTTTTTATATTTGAATTTAAAAGTTCATAACTTTACCTAATATTTTAAATAACATCTTGTTTTCTTTATTGTAGTCTCAGCTATTTATTAACCGATTTTTATATGGAACAAAGTATCTATTGTATAGATAATTGTGAATCCCACAATATTTTAGTAAACATTTTTTTTCAATATTATTTTAAATCTCATTTTTGTCTGTTGTTTTAACAGGACGATACAACGTGTTACATCGAGCAATTCATAACTCCATAGACCTTTTTTCAAAACGTTAAGTCACAGATTTATAGTAATATTGACCAACTGGATATTCACATCATTAAAACCATTAGAAAAATTCAGCCTGATTTATACAACATGATCATACAAAATTACCAGTCCTGTCAATGAACTTCCAAAGCCATTTAAATTATTTTTTCAATATTTTCTTTTTTCTTTATATACGTTTTAAAAACCCTTAATATTAAAAACTTTAAAATGTAGGAAAATGTTTAAATTCATCGTATCTCTTTGTCCTCAAAAAATACCTTCTTTTATATGTAGTCAGTGCAAGGCGCCAGCACCGTCGTAGAAACGCTCTACAGGAACAAAAGGAGTTTGGAAGCGATATTCCGTATCATAGACAAAGACAACTCAGGTAATTTCGACCAAATTGTTTTCCATCGAAATTAAAAAAAATAATGGAACATTCTTTTCCAGGACACATTAGCTTTGATGAGTTTGCGGATGCTTGCAATTTAATCAAGGAACATTTTCAAAGTCCTATGACAAAGGATCAGCTTAAGGAACTTTGCAAATTGATGGACCTTAACAAAGATGGTAACTTAAATTAATTAATTATACATATTATGTATTTATATATACCTATTTGTTTTCTTAAAAGTTTATAATGCATTTATTAAATTGAGATGTCATTTGCTCTTAATAAATGTGTGCACCTCTACTCCAAAATTATGTAAAAAAGAACAAAAAACATTTATATTGCCCCTAAAATGATAGTTTGTCTTTTATTACTTAATATTAAAGATACTATTTGAAGACACTACATTATAGTTATAGAGCAGTTTAGTCCGTTTATAAAAATCAAGATACCAGCTACCTCATACCGTATTTTCATTTTACATGTGGCCGCATTCGATTTTTAAAAGTGGGAGAATAATTTTTAAGAGTGGGAGACGCCAAGACTCTCGGCCCGAGAGACGGTTTTCGTAATTCGGCAGTAGACCCTTCACCGGCGTTGGGTGAATTATAAATACGAATTACGCATTATTAGGTTAATTTACTTTTAAAAATTATTCAAATACTTAAAATGTAACGTTTTAACAATAAATTATTAATTAAAGGTGTAAAATTTTATTTGTTTTGCATTTAACTAAAAGTATTTTCTAATAAAAAAACGTCAAAACATAAAAAATTCTCTTTAAACCAAAAATAAAATAATTCTCTTGAAAACAAATTAAAATATATAAATCAATTTTCTAAAAAAAATTAAAATCAAACTTTTTAAAATAAATGTAAATAAATAAATAAATTAATTAATTAAAATAATAAATTATTATATAAACACAAGCTTTGAGTAATTTATTTAAAGCCTATTTTTAAACTTTTGTTATTGTTCTAATTGACCGAATAGAACGTTCCAGATATTTAACTGAGAATAGGTCTCTTGTTTGACATAGAAAATTGCCCAATGCATAAACATATTAAAAAACTTTTTATTTCACAAGAAAAATTCAATATTATCATTGACTATTTTCCTCCTCTTAATTTCAATCAATCACAAACGCGCAATTTTGAATTACAAATGGTTTCTAGGTGAAAAAACTGTGTGACAGCACATGTCAGCAGTTTTTTCGAGTTTACCCGCGGCAAAACTTGACAGCTGTTATCACCCAAAATTGCAATTTATATTTTAATTGTTCACTGTTACTAATAAAAATACCATTCGGGCATCTAATTTTTCCTGTGAAAAAAATCGAAAAAACACAATGCTAAGTAATATTTTTTAACAAAATGCATTCGTGCAGGTGCAAAAATCCTCCTCTTCGACTCGGATTTTTGTTGCCACCAGCACTCATGCTTCTTGTTAAAATATTACTTAGCAACGTGTTTTTTTCGATTTTTTTCGGAAAAATTAGATGCCCTTATGATATTACTTACGACAAATCCAGTTAATTATACATTTTACGTTTTTAGGTATGGTAGATTTAAACGAATTTTTGGAATCATTTAGAATGGTGGACCCTGAAAGTAAAAAAACAAACCTGGCCAACAGCCCCGAGCCGGAAGAGCCGCCATCGGGCTGTAGAACCATTGAACCACCTAAATTTTTAGATGTGGATTCGATTAAAATTTCTAAAAAGAATAGGGACGGAGACACACCTCCTATATCACCTGCTGTAAGTATAAAAACATTGACTTATTTATATTTACGTATAGAATCAAAACCTACACACTCTATTTTAAAACAGACCTTAAATTTTTATCATGGATGAATGTAATGGTGTAATTAGCGCGTGTTCATAAACTAAATAAGAAGTTTCTATTTTATTATGTAATTTTAAGTGTCCCTTTATATGGAATAGGGTCAGAATTTCTAATAGGTATCACAAAAAACTATAAATAGTTTTATATTTAAATATAAATGCAAAAAATGTTTTTCATTTTAATAGAAACAACAATTCTTTAAATCATATACCATTTTTCTTGATCTTAAGCATCAAATTTAATGAATTGTTTAGTGCCTTTTACCTTATGTCATAATTTTATTTGTACATAATATGATCTCGGGATCCCATCTATCGGTTTAAAATAAAATAGCTTATGACAAATATTTCTAGATTGCTGATTCCTACTTAAAAGTTAGCTTTTTTAAGAATTTGCATAAACAAATTTAGAAAAAAGTGCATATATTGTTTAAACTACTTTCTACTTAATCTCTGTTGATTTAAAAGTGTTATTTTTTATTTCAAAGTTATGGCGTTTTTAAGCCCAGACTAAGGAAATCTAGACAACCTGTTAAAAGATTGTTTAAGAAGCGCTCTAGAAGGATAACCCTGTTGTAAATGACCAATTAATTCCTTATAGAAACCAATATAAGTATTTGTTGGTATCAATAGGTCTGAATTGGACTTACTGGGTTTAATTGAGAGCGATATAAAACATAAATTAGTTTTCCTGGTATTTTCCATGATAGAAAAGTCCGATTAGGATTCTACAGTTTTTTAGTGGTTTCGAGGTAATTTCCAATTGAATTCAATTGGGCATTCCCAGTGTAAGATTCTAGAAAGGAATCTGCTAATTGGTTATTCCCAATACTTTAAAATATGGAAAAGTCCAATTAGTATTCTACAGTTTTTTAGTGGTTTCGATTGGTTAAAGCTACCCATAGGTAATTTTTAATTGAATTCAATTGGGCATTTCCAGTGTGAGATTCTAAAAAGGAATATGCTAATTGATTATTTCCAATATTTTAAAATATCGCAAGAGGGCTCTCGTCTAGCTGCTCAAAACCAACGTTCGCAATCCTTGTTCGAATGATTGAGACGTCATCATAAAGAAACAAATAAGTCTTTGGACGCTATTTAATGTCGTTTTTTTATTAGTCGGTTTCTTTTATAATCTATGGGTTTCTGTGCTTAGTGGTAGTGGTGTGTCCTTATCCTAAAAATGTTTATATGTGTAAGGTTTAGGGACGATGGCGTGAGAATGGTGGTTATAACTGTATACAGCGGAAAAAAATAAAAAATTTCACATAAATTATATTGATTTCGACCATGCCTACAAACATCCTTTGCAAGAAAGACAAATAAATGATTATAATCGAGTAATTTTATTTATTTTAGATTACTTTTTTGTGTTAGTAAGTTATATGTATCAATACATATCTCACTAACATAAAAAAAATAATAAAGAAATAAAGTTACTCAGTTATAATAATTTTTTTGTCTCTTCTGTGAAAAATGAATTCTGGTTTTTACCCGGTTATTCTTCTGGGATCTTAATTATTTTTGAATAAAAAATCAAATGGTATTTTTAATTCCAAATTTAAAAAAATAAATTGGTTCAAATTTGTTTAAATGGGTTTGGCGATATGAATTACCAATTTATTCCAGGTGCATTTCTATTGGATTTAGCCAATAGAGACAAGCATAGGCATGGATTGGTATATTCCAATTTAAGCCGCTGACTTCATTGGAACTTACCCATAGGAATGCAACTGGAATGAATTGGTAGCGCCAAAACACATTTCAAACCAATTCAAACCAATTACTTATTTTTTATTGGATTCTATCGGTCATTTACAATAGGGAAGACATATTAGCAATCCAGAAATAACTATTTGTTATGAACCATGACTAGGACGAAATGGTACATACTGAAAATTTTATTGAATTAGATTAGAGGTCATAATATTATGTTCACAGGGACGTAACAAAGGTTTCAATCATGGGGGGAAGTTTTGATGAAATGCAAGTTTTTTCCGACTGCAGCAATTTTTTATGGGTGTTAGATTGGGGAAAAACTATACTTAGTGCAAGTTTTTGAGAGTTGGCATTAGCTGCAGCTGCAGTATGCAGCTTAACAAAACTTTTAAAAATGCCGAGTACTGAATTCATAGAAAAATGAGGATCCTAATTCACTTTCGTATATTTAACAATCTTTAACCAAACTATTTTTGGAAAATGCCGTTTTTTTTCAAAATAGGTTTTTGCATTTTTTTCAGGCAATAGTTTGCCGGTACTGACCACGTTTTTTAAAAAATTCAGCTATGTGCGTTGCCCTTGTAGTCACTGTACAAATTTTCTTTTAAGCAAAGATTAAATATACTTAAAAAGTATATTTAATCTATGTTTTAAGTAACAAAATGGGTTTTTAATTTTTTTACAATATTATGATTTAGCGGGTTTTGATTCTATCGGTTTCAATTTATAAAATGTGATTTATCTTTTTAATTTATCTTTTCAATTTATCTTTTTTGAAGTAATCGTAAGTAAAGTTAGTTTAGCTAGAAAAGAATAATATATTTCATAGAAATAATTGTATAAAGGCTTGAATATTATATATTAATTTTAAGGCGTATATTAGGAGAATAAATTATAAAATATACTGTTAAAATTATTTAAAATATTGTGTTTTTATGCTAATTAACTTTTTAGATTGTAAAACCCCTAAAACTAATGCCAAAAATAGACGAAGAAAACCTAGCAAAACTGTCCAAAATCGAAGATCTCTCTGCTTCCGAGGTAGAACACAAAGCTGACGTCGAAAAGAACCAAGAAAACCTCCGCAACGGCAAAAAAGAGCTATACGACGCAACTGTCAAAGTGGTGGTTCATCAACCGTCGCCATCCGAAGCTAACTGTCAAAATACCATTCTTAAAACAGACGGTAAATCATCTACAGGTCACGTCAACCCCATGCAGATGTCGCCTGTATTAAGTTCTCGTCGAGGTAATTAATTATACCTAGTTATACTAAATGTTATTAAATTTTAAATGTTAAATGTTTATTACAGTTGAGTAATATTGTCCAGAATACTTGTATCTTATATCCTTAAAATATTGTGCATCTTTCTACTCGTTATACATATTGCATTTTTCCTTCAAATCCATAAATACTCTCTTTATATCTGCTGGTGCATTATCTGACCAAATACTAAATTTTAACTGGACTTAGATACGATAGTTTTAATAAATGTTACTATAAAGCTCTACTACCTATTTTTTCTAAAAGGCCAGTAATCTTACAAAGCGAATTTGTAATCTTTATCGATAAAGGCATGTAAAAAGAATGACTTAAAATACTCTAAGCAATAATAATTCAATTTTTGATGTTATAATAAGGAAATTAAGATTTTAAAACTTTGATTGGAAAAATTTAAATCAAAGCGTTTTAAAAGATCGAAAATGTTACAAAAAAGCCAGATGAATTTTATATTGTACGTCAGGCCCGTAGCCAGAAATTTGGTTTGGGGGGGGCCCAAAACGTAGTAATAATTTTTTGGGTGGTACGGGGGGAGGAAATGGTTGATGGATAAATACCAGTAAAGCGTGAAGTTGTCATAAAAAATATGGCTTGTAATCGATAGACATATTTTTAAAACATGATATTTAGGAAAATTTTAGGGTTCACGGAATTTCGAGGGGGGGGCCGGGCCCGTCGGGCCCTACGGCTGGCTACGGGCCTGTTGTACGTACAGAGTTCGTTTTGATTCAAATTTTTTATATTGTTAAAGATTATAGTCTATATTTATGTATTTTATTTGATGTTGTCTATTTGGCTGTCATGTTTTGAGTTCTTCCAATTTAAATAAAAATAGGTTAGGTAATTTATCCCACTAAAATTTGCTTATTCTATAAATATATATTTCTCCACTAATGTTGCTTAAACTCTAAGTTTATCAGCATATTTTCTTGTAAAATGTACAGCATAAGGGGTGTCCCAACGAAAGGCGTAGTTTTAATTTCCTAATACTACAATTTTTTTTTCATGATGATATTCAGGAAGTTCAAACATTGCCATAAAACATTCTTATTTGACCGATGTTGAAATTTTAATCCTGCCGCCCCCTCATTTTTTTTAAATATAAAAAATATGTATGCCAAATTTGAATGTCCTAACTTATTTCCTTCTATTACCTGTAACAACGAGACGTTTTTCCAGATAGAGGATTTTTGCCTTTAATGTATTAATTTTTTAAAATTACTATTAATCTATGAAAAAGTATAAGTTACTTTTAAACAAAAAAAAAGAAATCATGTATTTTCATCCTAAGGTCTTTTTTACTTCGCTCGATTAATCGAGCGAAGTAAATAATTATTACTTACAGTTTTTCAAATAGGGGATTTTTGCTTTAAAACGCAATAATTTTATAAAATCATTAATAATTAATTAACAAGTCTAATTTTTTGAGGAAATGAAGAAAAAATATGGTACTTTTAAACAAAAAAAAAGAATTCATGTATGTCCATCGTAAGGTCTTTTTTACTACGCTCAATTATTACTATTATTGTTATTTTATTCAAATTGCCATAAAAAAAAACAAAATATAAGTGATAATTTACATTTAATGCATAATTAGTGTGCTTTGAAACGTAATTTTGTACTTTTGTTTTATAAAACAAATAATTTAAGATTACCTAAAAGATATTTAGGGAGCACCAACATTAGAAAAGTACAAAATTACAATTATGTAAATACTGAAATTGATTTTTAGATTATTTTCGAACAATTTAATTTTAAAGAAAGTAACATAGTTAAATTGGCAAAAAAATAAACAATATAAAACCCAGATAATTAGGTTTTTAATATTTTAAAAATTGTTTACAACAGTCTTTTTTTGCGTCGGGAAATGCTTTTCAACAAATTGTTTCTGGTCTTCATTGTGTGTTATGATGGAGTTATACCCAACTAACAATTTAAGTTTTATAGAAACTCTTAGAACGTTTACAGAACATATTTTATAAAATATTAGCTGTTCTATAAACACTTTCACAATGTTCTTACAGCTCTTGTAAGCATGGAATTGGCGCAGATTATAAAACAAATCGGCTGTAAGACATGCTCTATAAATGTTGTTTGTTGCTATAATAAAACAGTTCTTAGAACATTTATAAATGTCTAATAAAAATAAAAATAGAACGTTTATAAAACTGTTTTATAACAGCTCTGTTACTTGGATGAAAAGAGACAGTTAAAGGACTTTTTTAGAGCTGTTATAAAAATGTTTTGTAAATGTTTTATAAAGCTCGTAACTTAAGCTATTTTGCTACGAGCGCCAATAGTTACAGGATAAAAAAGTTCTTTTAACATTCCTATTGACACAAAATTGTTTTTAAATATGCAATTAGTCTCTTTAGTTGTTGTTTAGAGATGCCAAAACCTGTTAACATTGTAGCAAAAATAAAATGACAAATGGCTGATACGGTATTAAAAGTAATAAAAAGAATGAGTAAAAAAATCACCTATGGAGCAGATGTTGCTGCGAAATTAAATGTACTGTTAAGTATATGGTACAATCCTAACAAAATTTTAATGCGCCTCTCGAATTATGATAATTAAGGACATCTAAAGTATAATTTAATTAATAAACAAAACAAAAAAATGATATATTTTTGGTAAATATTTTATTACGACTTTCTACATTATAAACTGACAGTCCAGCATACTCATCTTTTACGAGACACGAAAAAATATAATTTAAAAATGTTGGTCGAGACCTGCATTCATATGGCTGTCGCTTTAAAGGCTCCCAAAATGGCCACTTTCTTATACGATCCTTATGAATCAGAATTGTCCGAATCAGGACAATTATGCTCTGTAAGTAGCTGTTATAAAAATCAAACCGGATTTCTCTAGGCAGAGGCGTACTCCGTTTGCCATGGATTATTATCAGTGGTAAGGGGCCATCCAAAAATTACGTCAAACGTTAAGGGGGGAGCGACGAAAAGTGACACTGTGTGACAAGGGGCAGGGGGGTCAAAAGCTGTGTGACGTCACATGTTAAAATCTAAAGTACCAAAATGCCGAAAGTTATATGCAAACCAAAAACTTAAAAATATTACTAACGATCTATATTTTATTTAAATTTAAAAACAGCTTTTATTTAATTACTTCTAAATATGAAATTAAAAAAAAAGTGACATCACAACAGGAGGGAGGGGGTTTCACAAGTGTGACCACCTGTGATAGGGGCAGGGGGGTCAAAAAACCACAAAATTTGTGTGACGTAATTTATGGGGCCCCTAAAGGAGATGGGCGATTTGTGCATACCTGCAAAGACTGCAAAATACCTACATAAAAAATAGCAAATTTGATCGTTTGAAATATTCGAATAAAAAAAGAAAACAACTAAGAATTTACCTAAATAAACAAACCGCAAAATGTCATAAAATAATGGGTATGTAAATTCAATATGTTACTACACTCGCACTGCGCATGTGCAAAACCAAAATCCACTGCGAAATTCGCAAAATTTGAAATTAAGTCAATATTTCCGCCCCCCAGATTTTAAATTTTGCGAATGGCAAAAATCTTGAAGACAAGCTTCATGTCATTTGTCATATTTAAACTCAACCAATAGGATCGTTATTCGCTTTTCGCAATTTACGATTCGCAAGTAGGTATATGAACTAAGCTTAAGAGCACAGGGTTTTGGTTTCTTGTAAAGTGTATAAATATATGTCGCTTTTTCCCTTTGTTTGTACCATAGGTAGCTAGTATTTTGTTAACCCAGGTGTTAACAAAATACTAGCTACCTATGGTACCTACCCTGTATAATTATTATTAATTAATTATGAAAAGCAAATATAAACTTATTTTTAACATTCAAACGTAAAACAAAATCTAATAGAAACTGTGGTATAAAAAGTAATATACAAATTAATTTAGTCCGGTCCTGTGAGCACGCGCCATATGCCTTAATTTTTTTTTGAACGTGGACGTTCGCGCGTAATCTTATAGGTGGCTCTGGTGCTGTCCGTGTAATGAGATATTTATCGAACAGTTAACGGATTTTAACAGAGCAGATTTTCATTTATGTTTTATAAAAGCTTTTTATAATGATTTTATAAAACAAATGGCTCCCATAAAAGCTTTTTACAATGATCGTATAAAACAAAAGGCTCCCATATGGGAGCTATATAGCTAATTTATTATTGGCCTATACAAAGCAAGTTTTCCCTCCAATTTTCCTAACCTAAAATAGTTGTCTGGTATTTAAGAGAGTTCGAGGATCCTGAGGTAGACAACTTGGTATGCGTTCATTAATTATAGCAAAAAGCTTCTTTTGGGATAAATGGGGAATATTATTTGATACTGCCCATGACCGAATTTTTTTCTATCTCGCACAAACTGCTTGCAGAATGTTGTTCATTGCCGGGAACAGAATCTAATTCGGTAATCCAATTTTCTATTTCAGCTTCCCGGTCAACATCGTTCAGTGCTATTGTCTGATGAGAAACGCAATTAATTATATGGTTATTTGGATTGCTAAACTCCAAGGTCTCTGAATGATTGTTAGAGCCATTAGTGCTTTCTATCTGTGGGTCACTTACGATTTCATGATATTTACTTTTAAGTTTTTTGTAAAATGTGCCACTTCTTTTAATTTTTTTCCAGCTACTATGCGACATTTTAATTGTACATGCAAAATGCAAACAAAAATATCATCAGACAAAATGAAAATGGAGGCTATTTTATAATAGTTTTATAATTATTGTTGTGGTAACATTTTATTGTTAAAAGACCTCCTTATGCAACATATTTGTTTTTTAACTGTTTTTGTAAAACTATAAAAAAACAATTTTATAATTACTCCATTTTATACCAATTTGCTGCAGAAAGCAAATCACTTTTATTAATAACAATTAGAAAACTATTTTATTATTAGGAAATTTGTTCGTAACAAAACAGTTTTATTATTGCTTTTATGGCGATAAATTAATCCAAAAAAGCACCCTTAAAGAATGCCTTTAAAGCAAAGTATCATTCAGAGCTAATATGCTCTATAAAAAATATTTTATAAACGTTTATAAAATAGCTCTATAACTTATTTTATAATTATTTTATAATTTTGCTGTAAAAACGTTCTCAAAACAATTTTAGTGACAGAATAGTTGAGCGCAACAAATTTATCGCGAAATAATACTTTATAAAACATAAAAGTTTCTACGAAGCGTCAATAAAACAATTATAAAATATATTAGTTCGCTAACGATGTCGAATTGCTAGTTGGGTACTCTTCAAATAAATACACAGCTCTTTCGGCAGCAGCGTTAACGATTCTCAGCTGAGTTACAGTTTTTAAACCTTTTTGATAATTTTCGTCCTGAGGCCACATAGTCGGATCGGTTTTCAAAAAAGTGTCATCGATATCCCATCGCTGACGCTACTGTTGTAAACAATTTTTAAAAAATACCAAAAACCTAATTATCTGAGATTTATTTTGTTTATTTTTTTGCCATTTTAACTATGTTTCTTTCTTTAAAAATAAATTGTTCGAAAACAATCTAAAAATCAATTTCATTATTTACATAATTGTAATTTTGTACTTTACTAATGTTGGTGCTTCCTAAATATCTTTGTTTTATAAAACAAATAATTTAAGATTGCCTGTTGTTATAATATATTATTGTACAGCTTGTGTCAAAGTTTCGAAAAGCAAAAAAATACTGTTGTAAACAATTTTTAAAAAATACCAAAAACCTAATTATCTGGGTTTTATTTTGTTTATTTTTGTGCCATTTTAACTATGTTTCTTTCTTTAAAAATAAATTGTTCGAAAACAATCTAAAAATCAATTTCATTATTTATATAATTGTAATTTTGTACTTTTCTAATGTTGGTGCTTCCTAAATATCTTTGTTTTATAAAACAAATAATTTAAGATTGCCTTAAAGATATTTAGGTAGCACAAACATTAGAAAAATACAAAATTACGTTTCAATTACGTTTCAAAACACACTAATTATTCATTAAATGCAAATTATCACTGTTTTTTTGTTTTTATGCCATTTTCAATAAAATAACAATAATAGTAATAATTGAATTAAGTAAAAAAGACCTTACTATGAACATACATAAATTCTTTTTATTTAAAACTACCATATTTTCCCTTCATTTCCTCAAAAAATTAGAATTGTTCAATATTTATTAATGATTTTATAAAATTATTGCGTTTTAAAGCAAAAATCCCCTAAATGAAAAACGTTATGTAAGTTATAATCGAGCGAAGTAAAAAAGACCTTAGGATACAAATACATGATTTCTTTTTTTTTATTTTAAAGTAACTTATATCCTTTACATTTTTTCAAAAAATTATACTTTTTCATAGATTAATAGTAATTTTAAAAAATTAATACATTAAAGGCAAAAATCCTCTGGAAAACTTCTCGTTGTTACAGGAAATAGAAGAAAATAAGTTTGGACATTCAAATTTGGCATACATTTTTTAGTATTCTTTTAAAACAAATGAGGGGGTGGCACGATTAAAATTTAGACATCGGTCAAATAAGAACCACCCTAATGTATACATGTACAAAGCATGTATTTCGCTGCTCTTTCACATGATCCGCTTATTGGTCAATAACCTATTTTTTTGTTCTGGTTCAGGACTTCTGGTCTACATTTTAAAATAAATGTATTCCAATTGTAGAACTGTAAAAGCGTATGTAGATTGTTTTCGTAAATGTTGCTCTTTAAATTACTTCAAAGAAAAAAGTCAAATGCTGTTAAGTCGCACGACCTCGGTAACCGTCTAAAGAGATAACACAGACAGAAAATTTACACCGCATTAAAACGATTGTTTCATTTGCTGTGTAACATGTGACACCTTGTTAAAATCATATCATCTCACTTTAACGTTTACCATTCACTATCACCACATTTCCAGCTATCTAGATCGCGGGACTTAACACCATTTGGCATTTTTGTTTGGGGTAATAATAAATAAACGATTTCACCACAGTTAAAATACAATATTCTACAGGCTATTTGTGAAATTGGAATACCTTTATGTGAAAATGTACTCCAAAACTTCGGTAAAAAAATGGTTTCCTGTCCAAGAAGCCGAGGAGATCATTTGGCAGATATTGTATTTCATATTTAATTGCAATGTTTTAACTTTATTTTAAAATAAAAATACCAACCTAAGTTTTTTAAAAATGTGTTTTATTGGAAATTAAAATTGACCCTTCCGTTGGGACACACCCTTTATAAATAAATATAATGTCTCTAACATAATCTATTATAGTAGGATAAATGTATATTCAATTTAAATAATAAAAATTATGAGTTGTTTTATAAATTTTAAGATCCTCATAGTTATATTTTTGAAAAACTTCTAAATATGTTTATCATAATATATTATAATGATAATATATTATAGTGATATTATATTGATTTGTAAATATTATTTTTAAAAAGACTGTTGCATATCAATGTTTTGTTATTTATAAAATTGTTTAGTAAAATTAACAAGTTATTGTAAGAATTAAACAAGTACCATATGGTATATATAGCATATTTTATATGATGTTTATTAACTTCTAACAAAATATCTTTATTTTTAAATACTGTTTGGCATACTGTATTTTAACTACTCTCACTTGAAAACGGTCCAACTTTGTTCATATTTCTACGAATTTAAAAGCAAAAGGCTTTGGTTTAATTAAAATATTTATAAATAAATTATTTCTTGTATTCTAAATATGTAATTATTTTTAATAAATGTATACAATAATAATTTGCATTTTATATTTCATATGGTATTTTATGTTTTCTTATCATCTTATTGTATCCCCCATCCAGAGCTCCACGGGTATCTAACTGCCCAAAACTCTCTCTACAATAACCAACAACAGTTACATCATGATTATTACAAGTGTCATCATTAAAATTGCCACCTGCGAAGGTTATTTGCATAAAAAAATTTAGTAGCGTGTATGGAAACGCCATGCAAATAAACTGCTCTTCTTAAACTTATCCCGTCATCTTCTTAAGCTTTGTAGTAGCCTGTAAGTTTAATGTTAACATTTTAATCCTTATCTGCACTGCAGTTTTTTCACGATATACTAAATCGTTTTCTTTGATACAGTCGTAGGCTTGATTCATCCAACCACCATTACATCCGGCGTTGTCAAGTGCTTAGGAGCAATTGACAAGTTGTTGCTTGCTCCTTTGCTGGTTATGTCGAAGGGTAAACCACTTTAAACTTAGCGAGACTAACGTTCAACGTTATGTGGACGTTGTGTTAAGATTTTTTCCTTATCCGTCGGAGTTCGATTATGTCTTTCGTGTGTGGTGCATCGCAATTTCATCTCTGGGACATTGCTCGATGAAAAGTTTGAAACATAGCTGACTTTGACCCAGGAGGGACAAAATTGAATTCCGGGTATAGAAATATACCGGTATTTTTGGACAATATCGCAAGCTTTGACTTTCTAGCGAGGTATTTTGTGATTTGTACAATACATTGAGTGGATGAAAATTAACGTGTCTATGGGTGGATGGCTTTGTTAGGCGCATGGACATTAAAACTTGTTGCTGGTCAAAGTGGTTCATTGAAACCGAGACCATTAAGGCCTTAGGCCACCAATGAAGAAGAAGAAGAATTCCTTATTCGTCGTTATAAATAAGGAAAAATCCTTATCAATAAGAAATTCCTCTTAGCTACGCGTTGCGCATGACTACCCTTGTGATTGTTATCCTTACCACTGAATCAGTGTTGCCATCTTGGAGAATTTTTCACCATTTCTGGTGATTTTTTGTTCTTGATTGAGAGTTTTCAAGTTAGATAGTTAGAATTTAAAGATGCATCGGAGAGTTTTTAGCGAATTTTTAATAATTAAAATACAGAATAAAAAATATTGAAAGTATTGGTTGGGTGCGTTGTGCTAGTAATTTTTAAAAAAGTTACCCTGCAAGAATTTGACCGGTCGGAACTTTGATACACCCCATCCACATATTTAAAAAATTTTGAAAATTTTTGGGGAGTGGTAAATGAATACAGAGATGCCCATTAAAAGTATTGAAAATTTTTTTTTGACAAAGTTGGAGAATTCTGGAGAATTTTTGTTTAGGTTTTTGAGTATTTTAACATTTTACTGCTGGCAACACTGCCACTGATTTTTAAAAATTAAAAATCGCATACGAATTACGGCTGCCCTGTCTAACAACGTGAATAATGAACTAAATATTCACGTTGTTAGGCATCAGTTATTGGCTGATTTCAATATTCACTGTTATTTAAACTAATCGGGTTTTAAATTGGAAAAAAGTAAGCTTAACAGATGTCAGATTTTTTTATATATACGAGAGGCGACTATAATTATCTTTAAAATCGGGAGAAAGTGAGGTTATAATACATTTTGTTATTAGTGAAAATAACTTAATTGGAGTACGGGATGCTGAATCTAAATATGATTAAAAAAATATCTAAAATAATTACTGAGTATTAAACAAATTACTAGCAACATTTTACGGTCTAGTTGCTAGTTATTTGTTTAAGGTGGGACACCAGCTTTAAAATAATCCAACGAATTTTAAAAGATGCGTAATTTTAAAGGGGAAATTTTGATTCAGCGGGATATTTGAATTGAAGACGAAACACCGGTGCACCGGTACCGAGCACGCGGAATAAATAACCCGTTTTATGAAAGGTTTCGTTTGTGTTTCAGGTGAAAGTTTTATTAAAAAGCGGGTCACGGTATACTATTTCGGTGAATGTAGACATACCATCAGGTACATCACATGGTGTATAGTGCAGTGGCAGTGCGGCTTGTGGATATGTGTAAACAATAGAAAACAATAGGAAACAATAATTAAGGTATTACAAGTTAAATAAGATTTTATTATTTTTTGTATTAAAATATGGAGGCAATGTTCACTGGGCATAGGTATACCTATGCCCTATAGTTTAATGAATGAATATGTTTTTTATGTAACTTATTTTAACAAGGAAATAGTTTTAATGAAAACTTTATAGGATTTTAAAAATCTTTTTAGTGTTTATGTATTTGCTACCATGTTAATACCAAGTTTTAGCAGGTATTCTTAGTTTGTAATATTTTTGTAGTTATTCATATTTTTTAATTTTATTTAGTTTAACCCTGGAAAACCTTTTTTACCCAAGTTTTGTGTACATAAACTGGGCAAATCCAGTGTATGTTAATGCCAGCTGCCAACTGCATATACAAATTTCCATAATATTTTTAAGAGCCTCTGTGACAATAGTTTTCCTGAAAAAGAAATACAAGTGCAATGAGATCAAAATAAGCCTTGAAATACACCTCAACTAATTAAAATGAAATATTCACTGAAAGCACTAAATGTTATAGCAATGGTAAAAAAAGATGACATAGGAAAAGTCCACAAAAACTACAGAAATAAATATAAAATATAAATTCATCAAACCAAAAAACTCGACCAAAATAAATATTGCTGTCAATAAACAAATCTGGCAAGTCATAGATGCTGAAAGGGGTATTCAAAAAAATATATATAATTAATCTACGCTTACGGCAAATAAACTGACCACATTCTCTAGTACAGTGAGTAAAAGCTGACAGCTTACCGGATATTGGTAAAAATACTTCACAATATTAAAAAAAACACTAAATACAATAGACTCTTGCTTTTTTCACGAAACAACCGAACAAGAAGTTGCCAAGATAATTGACAGCTTAAATGACAAGAAGACCCAAGATGTTCATGGTCCTTTGACACTAATAATTATAAATGCATATCAGAAGTCGTTTTTTTCGAAATAACTAAAACAGCCATATATATAAGTAAAACAGGACATAAACCATAGCGATAGTTATCATCCCATATAAATTATTCCAGTATTTTCCAAAAAATTTTAGAAAATCATAAAATCAAGATTGGTTAAATATTTTGAAAATAATACCTTTTTCACTGAGAGTCCACATGGCTATAGCCTATACAGGAAATCTAAATCAACAGCACAGCACTAATTAAATTAGTAATGTCTTGTGCGACTCAAGCAAAGCTTTCGACACTATCTCGCACAAGATACTAAAACAAAAACTAAATTTTTATGGAGTAAATACTCTTCTAGAATCGTTCACAAAAAATAGATTCCAAATGGAAAAAAATCAACAAAAACACCTGTCAACAGTGGAGTACCACAAAGCTCTGTGTTGGGGCCAATCCTATTTATCATATATTTAAATGATCTTGCATGGAACATAAAAACATACACTTGCTACTATGATATATCATTTGTTATAAAATCAAAACCACAACCTACAGAAATACTAATCTTTAGCACTAAAATTACAAAAAAGCTTTTAAGCTTTATAAGAAGACTGAAACCAATATCTACCTACGAAACAGTCAAAACAACAAATTTCATACTTTTCCATACTATATGTTCCTAGGGAATACTTCTTTAGGGTGAAACAACATACTTACATGAAGCTCTTATTCTTCAAAAAAAGCTATTCGAGCATTATGTGACCTAAAAAACACAGAGTTGTAGAAATCACTTAAAAAAAAAATACTTATTATTACCACATATACATACTTAACTGTATCTTATATATGCACAAAAACATAGAACACTATAGTGTTTAAACAAAAAATAGCGAAATCCACTAGATAAATACACGAAACAAAGAAAAACTACAAATTGCTCTATATCGTCTAGGTATACAAAACACAAAAATACTACTAATACTACTGTGGAACAAAACTATACAACAAAATTCCTAAAAGGATGAAAGACCTCAACTAAAAAAGCCTAGAAAAAGGGCCTAAACCTACTGCTGAACAATTTATTCTAAACTATAAAAGAATCCATGTACCTGATCTATTTTTATAATTCTTATTTATGTTTGTAATATTAACGACATATATTTGTAATTTTGTTAATATTTGCAATTTATATATGCATATTTTTGACTTGTCATGTAATTTAAGTTTTTAATTTATTTCCATGATCAATAAACTACTATTACTATTATTACTTTTTAGCAGATTTTTAAAACAAAAATTCCAATTTAATTAATATTAATTATTATTATGTTGTTAGCAAGCAAAAATTGTCTATATAAGGACAACCCTAAAGATTATTTTTCAATAATGAAGTAACGTACATAAAAATATATTGTTTTTTAAATAACATTACATAATGTTAACAATAAAATATTACTAATTATTAATTGAAATCGCACTTTTTTAATAAATTGAATTCATTAAATTTTCCTCGTTAACTTTCTCTACCTTGCAAATGTTCAACATAATTTTAAAAAGTAAACCATTTTTAAACGTTTAGAAAAAATACAAAAAATCATAATTTAAAATGTTAAATTATATAAATTACTTAAAAAATAAAAAACATTGTATGTACCTACCTATAAACTATCAAAAAATATGGCCCAACAAATTGTCAGAATTTCAAAAACCTGAAGAGTTTAAGGTCAGCCAGTTTAGTAACATTTCACACACATATTACCAATAACCAAATAAATTAAATTAAATCTGACCATGCTTTTTTCTTAAGAAATTTCATTAATTTTTAAGGTGTTTGGAAACACACCTTTTAAATGATTTATTTGTTTACCTATTGCCTAAGAAAATTCATGTTCAAGTTTACGAGACTAGAATAATGTGTAAATTGAACTTAACTTTGTGCTAAATATTACTTCATACAGTTATAATAAATTATAATAAATAAATCATTAGCATAATAAATGAACCTGATTTATATGCACAAAACTAACCTACCTTTTATAAACATCTGCATAACGCTGTTAATTTTTCTTAAAAATAATTTATTTTTTATGTAATATACCTCATTAATATTAGACTTGTATTTTTAAACAAATTTACATTCTCTATATATATGTATATACAGGGTGTCCCAAAATGGCGCATTAGCGGTATTAGAGGCTGTTGGGGAGGGTATTTTAAGTATAACATAAGTTAAAAATATCCCGCGTTAGTACACTATTTTCAGAATACCCTAAATAAAGTTTTAATGAATGTTTCTATAATTAATTAATTATTAATTAAGTGCATTAGAATCCGGATAATATATATTTGCACTTTTTAAACTCAATTTAATATATTCTTATGCTACTTGTCCGATAAATTTTGTCTAGTATCTAGCCTACTTAAGAAGATTTGTAAATGAGAACGCATTTAAAACTAATTTATTCATATAAATATAAAATTTTAGCAAAAAGTAAATTAACTTTTCTTTAGAATAAGAAGGTTACCTACCAGTAAAGATTACAATTTCTTATGTGCATTTACCAATAATTTATTAATGTTAAAGTAATATTTCTTCATCATGACTATTCATAATAATACTATTAATTATTATTACTACATATATACTTATAATGCATTCGTTTTAGTATGTTACGTATAATAAAAATATATCCTTATATCGATAATTATCATTTAAATATGTATTTAAAATTATTACGATGTTAAAGAATTTCTGTGTATATTTATAATTTTTTTAATAAATAAATGTAATTAAAACGCTTTTTAAACTAATATACTTCATTCCTATTATCCAACCAGGCTTCGAAAATCAATTAAAACAGCATTATTTGTATAGTTAAATAAAGCATTTAGGAATTGTTAAAGCAAAGTTTCAATTTTAATTCGTTATAACGTAAATGTATAGTTTTAAGTATAATTTAAGCAGGCTTATATTGCCACTCCCACTGTAGAGGCAAGCCAATCATATGTCTAGTAGCGAGGGGGGTTAAAACTACCCGAACTGTAGGACGAGATTCGAACACATTCACTCAATTAAGCAGCATTGCAACACATGGGCAGTATCGACTACCCAAATTGATCGCCAATGATCTAGTTTTTATTTCACTTGTTTAAATAGTTTTAGTTTAAGTTATGTGTAAATAAATATCTACTTAAAAACCATACACTATTGTGGTTTTAATCAACAATACAACAACATCAAACAAACACAAGCATCGTTTTATGGTCCTTCGAGCAACAATTTAACAACAATTACCAACCAATAAACATTTTTTGGTCACTTCGAACCGGATACAGGAGAGTTTGATCTATGGATATCAAATTTATCGCATCCTAGACGACAACACAATCAGCATTTCTACAAGAACTGGACATCTATAGGAAGACCATCCAAGCCACTGTCTTCAGGCCGACACAGCTTCCTATAGTCTTCAGATTGGGACAACACCTGGTCGCCCATTACGACAAAGCAGTAAGTCTCATTCCATTTACCATCCTTTCTATTCATATCAAAGTGTTTTCTACATGTACTACGATTTATTTTATTATTTCATATAATACGGTGCATTTGCATTTTCCAAATCAATAAGACTAGTTACACATTTCAATTATAATGGAACTAGAAAATCTACAATTTACTCGTGACATTGCAATAAATCGTTTAAAAGATATCAAAAAGATAGCAGTTAAGGCCGAAAAAGATGAAGATCAAAAGGGCGCATTCCAAGTTCGATATAAACAAGTACACATTTTATTCAATGAATTTCAAGCCTTGCATGGGCAAATTATTTCCAAATCATTGGAACTTAAAACATTAGACTTTGCAGCTCAAGAAAAAATAAGATCAGACTTTGACAATACATTTTATGCCATTAAAACGTCATATCAAAGCTTATTTCCTCCAGAAATAAGTGAGTGTAATTCGCCATCAATACATAGCAACAGTAACAATTTCGTTGATAAACAAAATGTGCGATTACCAAAACTTCAATTACCAAGGTTTGAAGGCAGTTTTCAAACGTGGCTCAATTTTCGCGATTTGTACAATAGCCTCATTCACAACAATCT